CCATACACACAACATCATATCATTTCTATAGCATTTATCATACCACTAACTTATATTTGTTCATATTTCTGGATTAGCCCATGTACATATGTGAGAACTATCGATATGTGAGTCTATAGAGGTTGTGCACTATGCTGTCACCACAGCTCGTATAAATGCACCGAAGTGCCCCGTAGAATTGCACCGAAGTGCCCGTAGAATTGCACCGTAGTGCCCGTAGAATTGCACCGTAGTGCCCGTAGAATTATGTCCATAAGGACCACGTAGAATTCCTTAAGAATCATATACATATACTATGGATCAAGTATGTGTCTTTCAAGACTTCACACAGGTTCCAAAGGATATACATATGTCCTAAAGAACCGAATAAACCCTCGACTCTTGGCATGCCAACTATACCCCTAGCTCTCATGACACATAACATGGGCGTTATCATTTATTTCATTTCAAATATACACATAAACTTGCAATTCACTTTCACATATCACGTATCACATAGCTTCTTTTCATATGATCACATAGTCACGTAGTTCACTTACCCGTAGATCATTTCCATATAATTCACATGTCACATATGTCATGTTTTCATATAATTTCTATCATTTCTCACCCAATCAACTGTATTCATGTAAACATACTTATCATATCTTGTTCACATAAGATCATTTAACATCCATAACATATTATGTAACATTATAATAGAAATACCTATAAGTCATATCACTTAGAGCACATATATACTTATAGTCACATTGCTTATATCTTGATCTTATGCCTTCTCTTAGACCTATATATATATATTCCCATGTTCAGGTAATCCACCATTTCATCACATAATTATGTATTCATATAACTCATTTCATTTCATTTCATATCTATATATATATATATCCTCAAGATTTATCCTAATATAAATCATATAGCACTCTTATAATTCATATTCACATTCATCTATGTCATACTTATAAACACATCCCACTTCTATTATTTCTTTCTGTATAATCTAATTTGTTTACTTAATTCAATTTCATATAACTTGTATAATCTTCTCATATAACTTCCCAAATTTCTATCATTCAACCTATGTGTTATAGCTTTATTTAAACCTATGAATCTTTCCCATCTAGCTTATCTTATACGTTCATCTTATCATTTATGTTCAAATCCCCTAGTTAGTGTACTATTTTCACTTCATCCTATAGATCAATATTATCCAGCTTATTTCACTTATCATATAATAATATAATTATATTTTACTATGATCACATAGTTTATATCTCATACTTTGCTTTCTCATGTTCACCTATATCATATCATATGGCTCATAACATTACATTCAAAAGCATGTCAACACATATATTCATGCATACATACAATTCATGTCATTCATATACGTATAATCATATATTCATACATTCTAACATAGGAAATAGACTTGTCGCAAGTCTTGTTTCCATTTAGCACCATAAACTAACTAATATGCACTCACCTGGCCTCACTAGCCAATTCCAATCTCTTATCTTTCCCTTGATCGATCTTACTTGCCAAACGTTCCGGAATTGCTTTATGCGTAGAATCTACATAAATGTACATTTCGAGACCATCATTAGATACCTACACCTTGTAATTGGATACTAGCAACTTCAACTAACTTATTAAACCCCATATTCCCAATTTTCCTTTAGGGGGAATCGGTTCCCCCCTATGGGGTATCGATTCCCTCCATACCTTCTGGAATTCTGTCGTTTGAAGGGGTATCGGTTCCCCTTGAATGGGTACCGATTCCCCTTGCCCAGAAATCATATTTTCAACCCGAAATTACTTCATTTTCACTCAAACACTTCATATATCATCTCCTTTAATATTCCTAACTTTCATACACATACTTAAACTCATTTCTACTCCATAATCCCTTCTTTAAACTCAAAATTCTATTTTCCATATAAGATTCAAAAATCATACCCAATTTTCAATGTGTTCAAAATCAAATTCTATCACTCCAAATCTCTTAATTTAACTATTGACAAGTCAAATTTAACTTCAAATTCTACTTGTCAATTCCTTTCCAAAATTTCATATAAAAACTCCAAATCTTTAATCTCTCTTAATCCCTCCATCCTTTGTTTTTAAGATGATTTAAGCTTTCCTTAAGCTTAGTTATCATCTACTAATCAAAACCCAACCTTAAAATCAACAACTCATTTACAAACAAAGAAACTTACCTTTGCTTGGGCTCTTCACGTTGAAGAAGAAAGAAGAGAGTCAAGAGTTATCTGGAAACTCTTGTTTCTTCACATGGATATTATAATACCCAATATCTATTATTTAATTATTACCTTTGCTCAATGACCCTTTTACCCTTTTAGTTCTCATTCACTTAATTATTCATCCTACCCAACACTTTAATTAATTCCTTCACTTTTCGATTAATTTAATTTGATCACTGACATATTAAAATCTTACACTTTAATCACTAACCTGGTATGGAGGATGTTACAAGTTTTGTGTGACAAGAAGGTGTCTCTAAAACTAAAGGGAATATTTTATAGAATGGCAATAAGATCAGCGTTGTTGTATGGATCATAATGTTGGGCAACTAAGAAGGATCACGTAAGGAGGATAGAGGTCGCAGAAAAGAGAATGTTTCGATGGACATACGGTAGGACTCTGTGGGATATGACAACAAACTCTGCTATTAGGATGTCCTTGGGGGTGGTGTCTGTTTCCGAAAAATTGAGGGAGGGAAGACTACGGTGGTTTGGGCATGTCCTTAGGCGACTACCGTCGGATGCGGTCAGGAGGGTATAGTCGATTACAGTCGACAGTGTCAGAAGGAGAGTACGACCAAGGAAGAAGTGGGAAGACTGTTTGAGATCTGATTTGATGGATTTAGCCCTTTCCGAGGACATGACCTCTAATAGGAAAGTATAGAGACTTAAGACTAGGGTAGTCGAGTAGTGTGGGTCACATCTTTAGGGTGTATCATCTCTGTCTTCTTTTAATGCCTTTGTAGTAATTTCCATGACTTCTACTTTTTATACGTTCATGTTATTGGTATTTATGAAGGCTTAGAACTGGGGCTTGCTACCGTTGACTTATGTGTACCATTCTCTTCACTTTTAAATTTAGCCGGGTCTTACGTTTCTGTCTATATGCAGAGATTTTTTCGCAGGGATTACTTCCCATTACAGACGCGCAGGTGATATTAATGACTGCATATGAATACTGTTCAACTATGTATTTATGTATTTTATTTATACATGCATTGCATTTTATCTATATTTTTAATTTTCTGACTGCCGGAGGTCTTCCACGGAAGCTACTCTCAACCTGGCGTTAGGGGCAGCCTACTACCCTACCTCACCCTTACCCCATTGCATATGATAATTGGGTTTTTTTGTTGTTGTTGTTGACCGTTAAGTGACACGTGTTACATTATATTATTTTAGAAATTTATTTAAAAATATATTATTAACAAAAATCCAACATATCATGCCCTTCTTCCCCTTTCCACCTTCTCCCTTTACCCTTCCATAGTCATTGGTTAGCCAGTCATGACCGTCATCGCCACCGGCTTCAACCTCCGATCAAACCCCCGTTGACTTTTCGTCGCAAAGTATCATCGTTTGTCATAGAGAAACGTTCAAAGGTTTGTCGGATTTTAAGTCATCGTTGTTGTTTTTCGTCGATTCCGACTGATCCCGACGTCCATAAGTCACACTGCCACTATCATTCGAACAACCATGCAATTCCAATCAAAACCCAAGTATTTGGTGATGGTGGCCAGAGATGATTGGCGACGGTTGGTAATGGTGATTGAAATGAGATATTTTAAGTTTTTAGAGTTCTTTTTATAATCTCACCGAAAGTTTGAGTTTTTTTAATAAATAAATTAAGTTTATTTTTTATTTTTAAAAAAATGTTTTTATTAGTAAAAATTTTAAATAAAATTTAAAGTATAATGGCAGACCCAAAACTATTATTTCTTATAATTACTTAAACTATTAACTTTCAAAGGTTCACAAAACTCTTATTAACATACAAAAGGCCTCGAAACTCATCAAATTGAGTCTAAACTTGGCCCGATGAAATGTGAAGCTTAAATGACTTATCCATCAATAACCTAAGTTGCAAATTATAATTAAGATCAACGTCCCAATTTATTTCTTCGACCAAGAAAATTGCACCACAAACGGAATCCAAACCAAAAATTCAAATAATTTACATATTTTTTTATATCTCATACTACTTTATTTCATATGTTGCATGAATACACTAATAATGAATATATAAATTTATGTATATATTTTTTATAAATGAAAAACAAACAAACTATAGTCGATGTATTTTTCAAAAAGAAAAAAAAAAGTTGAAATATGAATTTCAATTAATGGAGTTTCATCTCTTGATGACCTTCTCATAATAATAAAAACCGTGCTTTTCAATATTTTATGCAAGTAGCGGTCTTTTATTATTTTAGTTGAATTTACTCGATAGCCAAATTGTTTATCTTTGTTATCAAGTATTCCCTTAGTTTAAGAGATTTAGAGACGCTAGGAACAAATCTCTTAATCACTAAGGCCGTTTGGTTCGTGCTTAAAAATTAAATATATTTCATTCTCAAATTAATGAGAGTTAAAAATTAAATAATTGAACCCATCAAGTGGTCTTACTGATAAAAAAGAATGTTATTCTCCTTAGAAGTTATGAGTTTGAGCAACTGTGTTTGCAGGGTGTGCGTGTTATCAATCGTTTATGATAAATTAATAATGTAACCATATTTTAACTTTTCAAATATATATGTAAAAATGAGAATTCAATAAAGTATTACTGACTTTACCTATGAATAAAAGATATTTTTTCCGTTCCTTTTCAGAAATATCTAAAAGTAAAGGAGTCAGTTTGTAAATAAAACAACTAAAGGAAGAAAATAAAAATTCTTAGGGTGGCGACTGGCGAGGCATCTCACTTTCTGAATTCTGACCCGGCTTCCTTTTTCCATCTCCCGGCAAAAATCTCTTTTCCTCTTTCTCATTGATTCTTTTAGGTTTTTCTGCGATCTTCCTTAGTCCTTTGTTTGATCGTTAAAACAATTTCCAAAATGAGAGGATTAGTGAACAAGGTCGTCTCACGTTCTCTCTCATTCGCCGGCCAGTGGCAGCAACAGCAGCTCCGCCGTCTCAACATCCATGAATATCAGGTTTATTTACTTATCACGTCTTTCGTTTATGTATTTGATTCATTGCGTTCATAGTTTTTATTATTTTTGAGGAAATGTTACGGAAATTGTGGTTTCCAAAATAGTTATTAGATTTATTATGATCTAAAGTTTATACTGGTTTTCATGCTTATGAAACAAATTTTATGTAGTTGACGAATTCTTTTGTGTGGAAATTGAACTTCGAATTTACTGCTTTTTAATGGGTTTTATGGATCTGTGTCTTTCTGGAAAATACAAATGTCATGTAAGCGTCTTGCTGATAGATGTGGTTTTGGTAATCTGAAAATCAGGGGGCTGAGTTGATGAGCAAGTACGGAATTAACGTGCCAAAAGGAGTTGATGTTTCTTCTCTGGACGAGGTTAAAGAAGCTATCAAGACAACATTCCCCAATCAGAATGAGGTAAATTATTCAATTTATGCGCTGAAGTTACTTGTTGTTTAATAGCATGCTAGTTGATTTTGTTAAGAACAGAAGAATTAATGGCGTGTGTTTTTTACTGAGAAATTTAATTTTGAGAAACTATTTTATGACATTTTGATATAAAATGACTGTATAATTCAAGTATTGTTAACTTGGATTATAATGCAGGTGGTTGTTAAAAGTCAAATTTTGGCAGGTGGAAGAGGCTTGGGAACGTTCCTAAACGGTTTTAAGGGTGGAGTTCACATCGTCAAGACTGACCAGGTTGAAGATACAGCGGGTAATCTAAAGTTTTTTCTATTATCTTTACAGTAAAGCAGTCTATTACACAGTAAATACATTTATTATGAGTATTCTTCATTTTTTAATTTATCTTTGCTGAAGATGATATTTTAAGTTATGCATGTTTTTTTTACTACTTCATTTATTGTCAACATCTCTCTTATTCATCGCGAAGCTTGCATGCTATTTAGCATTTAGTGATTTTTCTTTTACACCTCACCTAAGCGAAGACATTTCTTTATTTTTTCTATAATAATAATTTTTTTTGCATGCAGGGAAGATGCTTGGGCAGATACTTGTTACCAAACAAACTGGCCCCCAAGGCAAAGTTGTTAGCAAGGTTAACCGCCTGTAATTTTTTTAATGTGAAACTTGCATTTTAATTAGTCCATGCAGTCAGTCTCAGTTATGCTGTGGGTATTGCATCTGGTAATTGCTTGTATCGTCAATAACTTCATTTTCCTTTTACAGGTTTACCTCTGTGAAAAGTTGTCACTTGTGAATGAGATGTACTTTGCTATCACTCTGGATCGTAATACTGCTGGTCCAGTATGTTCCCAAACTGAATCTGTCATCTTTGTACCTGCTGGAAGCAATATTCTTTGTTCCCCTATTAATTAATTTTGTAGGAAGTCAAATGTGATGTGCTTATTTGCACTATTGTATATTTTGTTTCTCAGCTTATAATTGCCTGTAGCAAGGGAGGAACCAGCATTGAAGACCTTGCAGAGAAATACCCTGACATGATTATTAAGGTTAATATAATTGTTTTTGATGTTTTGGCATAACCAATAAGGTAATCTCTCCATCCACAGTGATCATGGTTATGCAACTGACTCGTGAGTTATTTCTGATAGGTACCTATTGATGTTTTCAAAGGAATTACGGATGAAGATGCTGCCAAGGTTGTGGATGGTTTGGCTCCAAAGGTTGCTGATAGAAACGATTCTATTGAACAAGTGAAGAAGCTATATAAGCTTTTCTGTGAATCTGATTGCACATTGTTGGAAGTGAGTATAGTTTTCTTTCTTTGTTTGGCTACATTTTACTCTGACTATCTCATGTGTTACCAGTCATCTTATATGGATTTCTGTTTATCTTGCATTCATCTTTGTCTGAACCGTTTATTGTTGTCAACAGATCAATCCTCTTGCTGAGACTTCCAACAACCTATTAGTAGCTGCTGATGCTAAGTTAAACTTTGATGATAATGCTGCATTTCGTCAAAAGCAGATATTTTCTCTTCATGATCCATCACAAGAGGATCCTCGCGAAGTATGTAACAGTCTTCTCTTTTATCATGTTTATCAAATGGTTATTCTTGGTTGTCTTCCAGAAACAGTATCAGCAGTTGCATGATTATCCAATGTTTGTACACATGGCCCTGATTCTGCATTTTTGCCTATTACAGGTTGCAGCTGCCAAAGCTGATCTGAATTACATTGGCTTAGATGGAGAAATCGGTTGCATGGTGAATGGTGCAGGGTTAGCAATGGCTACAATGGATATAATTAAGTTGCATGGGGGAACTCCTGCTAATTTTCTCGATGTAGGTGGAAATGCTTCTGAAGGCCAGGTAATGTTCTTTACTTTTAATTAAATACTTTCACAGTGGACTTTTGTAGTATATGTTTTTTTTTTCTTGGTTCAAGCCTGCTTAAATCTCTTTAATCTTACTAATGTTTATGAGCTATATTACTCTGACTTGAGGTGAATGTAGCATGTGTCCAACACAATCATGTCCAACATTTTTTAGCAAATGATTTTCTTCATATTTGGAGTTTTGAACCTCCTGGATCATACCCTCATCCAATGATATGTTTCAGACACGTTGAAAATGAAAAGTCGGTAGGTATCGCTTTGTGGATCATACTTCTGGGCATGACTATATGTTGTTTCTGCTACTGTTCTTGCATTTCTGGCATCCCAGTCGTGATGTAGGGTTATAAGATTATGGAAATTTTGGTTTCAGACAGTTGATGTATCTTGATGATACAATAACTGTAGAGTATTTGTTCGTTTACTTGTCCAAAAAAGAGTAGAATATGTTTTTGCTGTTAATTGTTAGATAATGTGGAGCAGGTGGTTGAGGCATTTAAGATTTTGACTTCTGATGAGAAAGTGAAAGCAATTTTGGTTAACATATTTGGAGGAATAATGAAATGTGATGTGATTGCAAGTGGGATCGTCAATGCTGCCAAAAATGTGAGGGTTGCATAAAATGCGACGTTTTCGATGTTTACAATCCTTGTAGAAAAGACATTGACATTTTTTGGGCATGTGTGATAGGTTGCCCTAAAAGTTCCCGTGGTGGTCCGTCTTGAAGGTACCAATGTTGAGCAAGGGAAGAGAATATTGAAGGTAAATTAGATGTACTTAAATTTCTTACGATATCTTGGTGATTATTAATGTCATTTTTGATTTCCTTGTTGATTGGCAATGGTGCTGCAGGAAAGTGGAATGACACTTATAACGGCAGAGGATTTGGATGATGCTGCCGAAAAAGCAGTTAAAGCAGCGAGCAAATAAATTTTAAGATATGTGTTTCTTGCTCTTGTTTCTCAACGTCTTTCACAACATTGCTGAGTTTTTATAAGTTAAGCCCATTGAATCTTGTTAATGATAAACAATATATTAACAATATTTTGCTTATCGAGAGTTAAGCTTACAATTCAAAGTCCGAAATAAAACCCATTTTCTTCTTGATCTTACATGTCATCTTCATCCACTCCTCAGTCATCGACCGCCTTTTTCTTTGATTTTAAGTTGATTTCATGTGTTTTCGAAATTGATTGAACTTAAAATAACCCTATTGTAGGGTATTATGGCTCCGCAATCACGTTATGAAATGATTATAAGATTTCGCTACTTTGTTGCGAGCCTTTGTATGTTCCGGTTAATGTAATTGAGACCATGAGACACTGGGATTTGATTTTTTAAACGACTGTCATTGGCGACTACAACAAATTTATCAAAACTATAACTGTTGTTGACGACATTACTTCTCATTCTCCATTAGACATTCTATATTGCTATCCTCATCTAAACCATGCACAAAAACATTCACAATGTCCTCAATAATCATGGTTTCCTCAAAACTAGTTTCATCGTATTTCAATCTCAAGGCATAAATGACTCTCATCCGACGCGTCCATTGAAAAAAAAGTCAACCTTGACACAAATAAAAGAATAATGAAAATCCCAAACCTTGAATAAACTCCAAAAGAAATCCACCACACAATCAAAATGACGACACAAACTCTAAATTAAATTAGAAATTGATAAAATTTGAAGCTTGTAGATGTAGAGAATATACAAGAAAGGTTCGAATAAAAACGAGTAAAATAAACTTTGAGAAGAGGGACAGAACTAAACAAATTTGAAGACCTATAAAGTTTTTATTGTAACTCAAAATAAACAAACAAAGTTGTTGATAATTACACATAATTTTAGAAAAATTGTTGGTAACTGTGAACGATATTTATGATTTTAAAATAGATTTGATTATTGTGTGATAGTCAAAATAGATATTAAGTGAAGACCTATTTCACTAAATAATGATCTAATATATTAAAATTTTATTTCTTCATTATTTATCTAAATAAAGCTTTATTTAATAATATTTTTTAAAATAATATCTCATTTAATTAATTATTCATATTAAAATTCACTCAATTTTCCTTTTTTATAATTAGAGAAATCAATTTAAAATTTAGGGTTAAAATAAACCTCTAACTCAAGATCCCCTCGTCTAACACTCTGACCGGCTCTCTTTTTTCCCATTCCCCGCAAATCTCTCTCTCACCGTCTACTCTAGGGTTTGCTGCAGATCTCCCTTAGTCCTTTGTTTGATCGTTAATCTTTCCTCTTGAGGAAACAAATTACTAAAATGAGAGGGTTACTAAACAAACTCGTCTCCCGTTCTCTCTCCGTCGCCGGCCAGTGGCAGCAACAGCAGCTCCGCCGTCTCAACATCCACGAATATCAGGTTTATTTACTTATCATTTGTTTCGTTTATGTATTTTGTTCCTTGTGTTTATAGTTTTTATTATTTCTGAGAAAATTTAAATCGGAAACTGTGGTTTAGTTATGATCTAAAGTTTACACTGATTTTGATGCTTATGAAATGAATTTTATGTAGTTGACGATTTTTTTATGGAATTTGATCTTCGAGTTTACTGCCATAATAGTTTTTTTTTGGATCTATGCGTCTTTCTGGAAATATAAATGTCATATAAGATTCTTGGTGACAAACGCGATTTTGGTAATCTGAAAACCAGGGGGCTGAGTTGATGAGCAAATACGGTATTAACGTGCCAAAAGGAGTTGCCGTTTCTTCTCTTGACGAAGTTAAAGAAGTTGTCAAGACAACATTCCCCGATCAAAATGAGGTAACTTATTCAATTTATGCGCAGAAGTTGTTTGTTGTTTAATAGCCTGCTTGTTGATTTTGTTAAGAACAGTGGAATTATTGGCCTGTGTTTTTCATTGGGAAATTTGGTTTTGAGAAACCATTTTATGAAATTTTGATAAAAAATGACTGTATACTAGAAGTATTGTTAACCTGGATTATAATGCAGGTGGTGGTTAAAAGTCAAATTTTGGCAGGTGGAAGAGGCTTGGGAACGTTCCTAAACGGTTTTAAGGGTGGAGTTCACATCGTCAAGACAGACCAGGTTGAAGATACAGCGGGTAATCTAAAGTTTTTTTTTTATTATCTATACAGTAAAGCTGTCTATTACACAGTAAATACATTTATTATGAGTATTCTTCTCGATTTTTTAATTTATCTTTGCTGAAGATGATATTTCAAGATATACATGTTTTTTTACTACTTGTTCATTTATTGTCAGCATCTCTCTTATTCATTGCGAAGCTTGCATGCTATTTAGCATTTAGTGATTTTTCTTTTACATTTATCCTCACCTAAGCGAAGACATTTCTTTATTTTTTCTATAATAATATTATTTTTTGCATGCAGGGAAGATGCTTGGGCAGATACTTGTTACCAAACAAACTGGCCCCCAAGGCAAAGTTGTTAGCAAGGTTAACCGCCTGTAATTTTTTAATGTGAAACTTGCATTTTAATTAGTCCATGCAGTCAGTCTCAGTTATGCTGTGGGTATTCAATTTGGTAATTGCTTGAATCGCCAATAACTTCATTTTCCTTTTACAGGTTTATCTGTGTGAAAAGTTGTCACTTGTGAATGAGATGTACTTTGCTATCACTCTGGGTCGTAATACTGCTGGTCCAGTATGTTCCCAAACTGAATCTGTCATCTTTTTACCTGCTGGAAGCAATATTCTTTGTTCCCCTATTAATTGTTTTTGTAGGAAGTCAAATGTGATGTGCTTATTTGCACTATTGTATATTTTGTTTCTCAGCTTATAATTGCCTGTAGCAAGGGAGGAACCAGCATTGAAGACCTTGCAGAGAAATACCCTGACATGATTATTAAGGTTAATATAATTGTTTTTGATGTTTTGGCATAACCAATAAGGTAATCTCTCCATCCACAGTGATCATGGTTATGCAACTGACTCATGAGTTATTTCTGATAGGTACCTATTGATGTTTTCAAAGGAATTACGGATGAAGATGCTGCCAAGGTTGTGGATGGTTTGGCTCCAAGGGTTGCTGATAGAAATGATTCTATTGAACAAGTGAAGAAGCTATATAAGCTTTTCTGTGAATCTGATTGCACATTGTTGGAAGTGAGTATGGTTTTCTCTTTGTTTGGCTACATTTTACTCTGGCTATCTCATGTGTTACCAGTCATCTTATATGGATTTCTGTTTATCTTGCGTTCATCTTTTTCTGAACCGTTTATTGTTGTCAACAGATCAATCCTCTTGCTGAGACTTCTAGCAACCAATTAGTAGCTGCTGATGCGAAGTTAAACTTTGATGATAATGCTGCATTTCGTCAAAAGCAGATATTTTCTCTTCGTGATCCCTCACAAGAGGATCCTCGAGAAGTATGTAATAGTCTTCTCTTTTATCATGTTTTATCAAATGGTTATTCTTGGTTGTCTTCCAGAAACATCATCAGCAGTTGCATGATTATCTAATGTTTGTACACATGGCTCTGATTCTGCATTTTTGCCTATTACAGGTTGCAGCTGCCAAAGCTGATCTGAATTACATTGGCTTAGATGGAGAAATCGGTTGCATGGTGAATGGTGCAGGGTTAGCAATGGCTACAATGGATATAATTAAGTTGCATGGGGGAACTCCTGCTAATTTTCTCGATGTAGGTGGAAATGCTTCTGAAGGTCAGGTAATGATGTTCTTGACTTTTAATTAAATACTTTCACGGTTAATTTATGTAGTATTTGTTTGTTTTTTGGTTCAAGTCTGCTTACTCTCTGGGTCTGGTAGATTGACAGTTCATTAATCTTTTACCCTCATCCAACAAAGATCATACTTCTGGACATGGCTGTATGTTATTTCTGCTGCTGTTCTTGCATTTCTGGCGTCACTTTTCATGCTGTAGGGTTGTAGCTTTATGTTCAATTTAGTTTCAGACAGTTGATGCTACGTTGGTGCTACAATAACTGTAGAGTATTTGTTCGTTTACTTGTCCAAAAAAGTAGAATGTGTTTTTGCTTTTAATTGTTAGATAATGTGGAACAGGTGGTTGAGGCGTTTAAGATTTTGACTTCTGATGAGAAAGTGAAAGCAATTTTGGTGAACATATTTGGGGGAATAATGAAATGTGATGTGATTGCAAGTGGGATCGTCAATGCTGCCAAAAATGTGAGAGTTGCATTAAATTTAATATTTTCGATTTCCACAATCCTTCTAGAAAAGACATTGACAATTTCTGGTCATGTGTAATAGGTTGCCCTAAAAGTACCCGTGGTGGTCCGTCTTGAAGGTACCAATGTTGAGCAAGGGAAGAGAATTTTGAAGGTAAATGGGAAATTAGATGTACTTAAACTTATTACTATATCTCGGTAATTGTTAATGCCATTTTGGTTTTCTTATTGATTGCCCATGGTGCTGCAGGAAAGTGGAATGACACTTATAACAGCCGAAGATTTGGATGATGCCGCAGAAAAAGCAGTTACAGCAGCCAGCAAATAAGATACTTTAAGATATGTGTTTGTTATCGTCTTTCACAACATTGATGATTTTTCTATAATTTAAGCCTATTGAATCTTGTTCATGGTAAACCAAAGGATGGAGGAGTAATCATTGGCCCCACGAAAATCGTTCGTGGTATTTTGCTTCTTGACGGTTAAGCTTACAATTCAAAGTCTGAAATAAAGCCCATTTGGCTTACATGTCACTTACACCGACACTTCGATACCTTTTTCTTCGATTTAAATTTTATTTCGTGTGTTGGCAAATTTGATTCAAGTTATAATAATCAATGGGCAAGTTGAGAAAAAAAAAATTAAGCTCTTGGAAATTATTTTTTTGTCTTAACAACGTTAAACATTTAAATTTTAAATCAAAAAGTCTAGAAACAATTTTCACTGTATTTTTTTTTTAAATAATACTAAATTAACCCTTAATTAAGACTACAAAGTGCACTTACAATGATTATAAAAAAACGAATGGGCTAAAGCTATTGGAAAGCAATGGAGGTGTAATATGCTAACATAAAGGTTCACCTAGATCCTCATCTACCTTATTCTCCTGGCATTTCTTCAGTAGATACATCTGCCGTCGTAGGTGCAATACCTGCCATTCCAATATAATATGGCAACTACTCAGATTTCTTTGAAAGAATGAACAAATATAGACCAATGTTACGTTGTTTACCTCTTCCTGGAGCAAAATGGGAAGATTCTCAGTCGATACAAGAGATGACATTTCGCTCAAAAGCTTCTCATCTTTGATACCGTACCATGTTTCAGGAGGCAGGGCCAGCAAGAGGGCTGTGACGGCTGGGTAAATCCAACTGCACCTAGTCGGGCTAGAGCCACAACAGTTCAGTTTATTCGGGCATGAAGGGACCAGCACGTCAACGCCCTGCTCAGAGATACCATTTACAACTGTCCCAGACACCAATGTAATAGGCTTGTCACCGTTAGCCTTCAAGCTTGTAATACATGTTTCACGACAGCAATACCTCTCTGGGGAACCAAACTTCCCAGCCAAAAGTTCTGCGCCTTGGCAACAAACTGTCGCGGCAATGTTGGGCAGATTATTTCCGTGACTTACAGCTGGTGCATTTCTGCAGCATAAAGTCACTGATGATAAAAATTCTACAACATGTTCAAAAAGACCAGTTTCCTGCACTTGTTTCAACACAGCTTCCTGGAAGGGCAAAACAAATTGTAGTGTAAAACTTTACAAAGAATTATAGCAAACATCATCGAATTACTAAAAGGAAAAGGAAACAAAAACGACAAATGGAGTTTTACAGCACCTTTAGAGAAAGCCTTCCTTTCTCCTCTAGGCTAAGGTTTTGATCACCATCTTCTCTTCTCCTAACTTCTCCAATCCACTTGATGAACTCCTCAAATTTTGATGGAAGTGATGAGAAAACAACTGAGATAACCTTTTTCACATCTTTCACATCATCCGACTTCACAAGATTAGGAACATCATCCATTAAATACTTTGCAACTTTGACCCAACTTTCATGCTTACAGCTCTGCGTAAAGAACAGACAATCCATCATCAGAAAAGGGATAGCAACTATGCTAAACATCAGCTCAAATATACTAAATCATTGAGAGCAAACCTAAGCCATGACCAAAAGCAACAATATAAGACTAGGCATGCTTCAAAACAAAGCAATATAAAAAAAATATCAGAGAGAAATTCACTCCAGTACTACCACACAAATAGTACCAAGCACATGGATCAGCCATCCAGAAGAGACACACTTGTACCAAATAAAACTGTAAACATGTTGCCCTGTTGCTTCATCAACATTTTCCATGGCTTCCCAAAGAAGTTTCAGAGGAACCCAATGAGGAGGATACTTAAAACAAGCAACATCTAAAATCAGGGCCATGTCCCTTCCAGCATGATAACCACCAATAGGAGAAAAATGACCAGTGCCCGTCTGCAAAAAATATAGCCAATGCTACCACTTAGCAGATGTAACAAGATGCAACTCCACTTGGATTTTAATACTGACACTAAGTTAATAAATAGCATGGTCAAAAGCATGGCACATTACATCAAAATGGAAGACTTAAAACACATCAATAAATGATTAACCAAAGACATGCCACAAGATTCAAATTATTTACATTGACAATTGCAATTATATACAAAATGCTAAAAGAATGATTACGTCAGCTGATCTCAAACAAAGATGAAATTTGTCTCCCCATATCATTTTTAATATTGCTTCACGACACACGGTGTCATATAATAACATACCTAGTATAAATTATAAACTATAAAATTGAATCTCACCTGTTTAAAAATTGACATGTGATACGATGAAATTATATGACACTCATCAGAAGTGGAACATCTCACAACAAATTTACGGAAGTCATCCAAGGTGCTTTTATTTGTGCGGAAAGCTTCAACTTTTGCTCCAGCGCAATGAGCCAAACACACAAGCTCGCCAAATGATATTCCTTTCTCTTTAACCTTTTCCAAAAGCTCACAACAATCAAGCATAGATTCATCAAACCACCTCCAAGGTCCTACAAAAAGAAACTTATAACTGCTCAGGTGTATACTTTTAGATGACAGAAAATGCATTCTGCTACTCATGTATCAAACTTGCAAGTATGACACAGATCAATGACACACTACTCCCATTACAGGAGACAGGGTTGAGACTATTCAAAAGATTAGAAAAATATAGACGTGAATATGGGCCAAATATGTATAACACCAACTGACATAAAAACTTAAACGTTACTATTCGAGCACTTATAAGTTACAAAATCATTTGCATAACTAAATTTAGAGAATTTGAAATTCCTAGAATTCCATGGAAAATGGCATTGCCCTGCTCTCTAGATTGCAAACACATTCACTTATTGATGATAAACAATAATTTGATTATTGAAAAAATATAAAAAACTTCTTTTTAGTGCAGAAACAATCTGAAAAAGATGTCCACTTAGTTCTAGAAGTTACCCTTCCATTTTCTGCCAGGGTCAATAGCAAGGGCATTCAAGACCATTGAAAGACTGGCTAGTCCACAGTAAGCTGGCTCTGATTGTGTTTGAAAGTAAGATATCAACCTATAAAACCCTTCCATCGTCCCGTTTTGAATAGCTTCGATGAAAAGTTGCTGCAGTTCCAATACATTGCAACAACTGAAAATATTAAAATAAAATCACTAAAAACACAAATGCATCATACAAGTTCCGCCGATTCCTCAACTGGAAATCACAATCAAAGACAAATTTGCAAATGATTAAAAAAACCTAAATAACTGATAGGTAAAAGTGGAGAAGCAATGGTTACCTTTCCATCGAAGGAAGCGAATTCGACGGCGGGTGGAGAAGGAAGAACTCGTTTATACAAACCAGCCATCGTCATCTTCATTTTGCTTAGATTTTTCTCGATTTATACTAATTATATTCACCCTCTTCTTTGCAGTGATTTCCCCCGGAAAGGAAACTGAAGATCTCGCGCAACCAAAGCTCAATCAAAGTTTCTGACCTTAGAACTCGGTGACTTCAAAGCATCGTCCAATACACCGTTACGCCTGTCTTCGACAAGGAGACACGAACAAAGCGACGAACACAAGAAAGAAGGAAAAAATATTACGGAGATGCAACAATAACGCCGTCACGCGTCCCCCCGCCTAAACTTACCAGTTTCCACATAAGTCAAGTAAGCAGCTCTGGCTGTTGCCTTTTTTGTTTTTACAGCTAAGTCAACGGTTATCGAGCTTAATTCAACGGGTTAATGCTAGTGTTAATTTGATTAATTTCGTAGAGGGCCTTGGCTTATTTATACGGCTTGGGCTTTTCCGAATATATATATATATATATATATAGCTAAAGCATATTTGATTGCATGTATTAACATAGTTAAATGATATAGATTAAATATAAATACGTAACATAAAAATTACATGTATTGTGTCATAACATACCTATTCCCAACTGCCGAAATTCAATGCTAAAAATTAGTGAAAAGTTGAGGTTAAAGGGTAATCCAAAACAGTGTGTTGACGAGAAATTAAACCAAATTGTAAAAGCACTGGCAGCTGCTCGAGAGTATTGAATCAATGCAACGAGCCAAACATTCCTAATGATGTAATTATTTCTCTGTTGTGTTTTGTCCATTAATCAGATCACAAGCTACGTAATTACAGTTGATGCAGACATGAACAATCCATTATTATCCATCCAAAAGAAGAAAATCGATTCATAATATAGCCATGATATATCTAATTGACAGCCCATTTTCATCCATTGAAAGCTGAATCAGTTCCAAGTTTCAACAGTTAATTCCAATGGAGCTTTTGTTTTTGTTTTTGTCATAAAAGGTTAGGTTTTCCTCGATGTGGGAAAAAGACAAGTACTTGGTTTTCTACTAAAGCAAAAGATAGTCTCCGTCTAGCTAGTAGCTATCAGTGTTTTACATTATACAACCAAAACCAATGGTCACCAACGTTAAACAAAAAAAATTTCCCCTCAGAATTCCCCTTCAAAACCCGAACCATTTAGTCGTTCCTCTCGGATCCCAACTACCGACCCGGAATCGGATCCGTTATCCAAGTCCCGGGTCCTGGACCGCCTGGAGGATCCTTCAGCACTGTCTTTGGATTTCTTTCGTCGACTACTTTTCTTCTGGTTGTCTTCTTCATTTGGATCCTTTGGTTCCTTCGGCTCCTTGTGTTCTTTGGGTTCCTTTGGTTTTTTCTTAGGCTTTGTGGCGTTTTCAGAAGCTTCCTTTGAAGAAGAAGAAGTGGTCTTGGAACTCTTCTTTGGATGCTTAGGTTTATCTGATTTTTCCTTCCCTGTAGACTCTCCTGTTGAATCATTTCTAGTTGAAGAATCTGAACTGCGCTTTGATGATTTTGGCACTTCTGCCATGTCTGTTGCTGATGAACTCCTCGGACCTTCTACGTTAATCCCATCTGCAAAACCAATACTAATCAAATGGGGTATAAATCATCGTAGCATTCTGCTAACTATTCGTAAACTGTTTATTTATATTCTTTTATTAAATTAAATAAATAATTATAAACAAAATTTTTATGAAACAAACGAACACGAACAAATGTATGTACGGTTCATTTATGTTCACAAACAAACTCATTTATAAGTTCGTTTATCGACTCGTTTGCGTGGTTTTCATTTTATTTTCTTTTATATTTTAAACATTGATGAAGATAGGGGCTAAATTAAACATAAGATGAATTTTAGAGTTCAAATCGTAAAGTTTAAGGATTAGTGACATAATTTCGACATTCTTAAATATATAAACGAATATGTTACGAACATATAAACGAACATGTTCGTGAAAGTTAAACGAATCGAACACGAACACATTAAGAAGACAAACAAACAAACATGATAATAAAATTTAAAAAAAAAAACACGAAATGAACATAAACACAATCTTATTTATTCAAACTAGGTTGATTTACACTGCTACTGATCAACATAAATGGAAGTGGATTCCATAAAAATGTTGAAGTCTTAATTTGGAATGCGGTACCTTGAGAGACGGATTTGCGAGGATCTTCCTCCCGAGCATCTCCATTATTGGCAGGTGATGATTTAAACTCATTCATCTGCATTATAAAAATGAAAGCCAGAATTCACTCCCAATATGAATCATGGCTTTCTTTTACTTGGGGCAATGTTAATTTTTGTCATCATATGTAAAAAAATAATACGAAAAGAAGTCTCCACAATCGTAGTAATAATGCAGTAGGTCTTTGGATTTACCCAGCTGGGTGCAGATTTTGCTGCTGATGGACCATCCCATCCTATGTGAGCCACATGCTTTACATCTGTTGGCAAACCAATCTGCATTTCAGGCTCTTTTTCATTTTCTGAAGAAAAAAGTTCACACATTTTGGCATTGTTATTAGAAATTCAGTTCCAAAAATCTCCATTAAAAAGTTATTTTAATTCTTTTTTTTAAGTATTTTGGCCTATCATATTTTATTTTAAGATAAAAAGACTCATAATATTTAGCCCTTATGTTTTGGAGTATTTTGGCCCCAAAATGAATCGTTGGGAGTTAAATTACTCTAAAACTTTTAACCACTTACATCATTAACGGTTATTTTACTAAAATTTAAATACAAACAAGAGATGGAATGGCATACCAAATATTTCAGAAATGTATCTAAGGCCTTTTAAAAGACCCTTCATCTTATTGTTGGATGCCATCTTGAAAGGCTTTGATCCAAAACTAAAACAGCCTCCTTAGCCTGGAAGATGAAAGAAGAAGAGAACTTTTTGTGATGCAAAAACAGAAGAAAATGAATTGCATCACCTCATGGCTGCAACATACAAAAAGGAGATCAACCCCTTCCCCCTCCTCTTCAAGAAACAGAAATCAATTGGACTGTTTTTGGATTAAAAAAAAAAACATTGGACTGTTTTTGACAAAGGTGTGATTAGGGTGGTGACAAGATAAGAGTCAGGAAAGGCAAACTTGCAGAAGTTCCGTTAATTTAATGGTAGTGCATCATTTCACAGTTAATTCAAAGTCGATAATTTAGGTATGCATTGCAACAAATGAGAAGACGTAATAACTTTTGTGTTTTTTATTATGAAAAATCTAATTTTAGGAAGGTTTTAACAAACTCTCTTATTTAGTATCAACGTATATTATTATTGCTTTATTTGTTTTTGAGTTTTTTTTAGGATATAGAGGGTATGTTTAATGCAGATGCATTTAATTCTTGCTATTCTATCAGTTAACTTAACTGAAAATCATTGGGTTTCTTTTTTTTTTTTGGATAAATAAAAGAATATTATTACCCAAAAGGGAGCAGTAAACTGTGTATATTACAGACATCAAAACAGATACAGATACAGTGAAGGCAACAAAACAGTTTCAGACTTCAAAACAACCAAAGTGGAGCATGAACAACCAACATAAAAGGTTAGTTAATACCCCATTGGATACAAAGAGAGATATTAACTCTATCTACTCTATTGATTAACCTATCTCGTAATTGAATTCTAACAAATTCCTTAATGGCTTTAAGGATTTCATCAACAGTTCTTGAGCTTCTACGGAATAGCCTTTTGTTTCTTTCTTCCCAAAGAGAATAAATAAACGCAGTCCATGCAAGCTTTAGAATATTTATTAGGAGGGAGTTACCTGTCCAGGAACCACATGCCCAGGACATATGATGATCCCAGGACAATGAAGATCTCCGTAAGCCTGTGAGTAGTAAGATTTCCTTCCGTAGAGAGTATGCTAGTGGGCAGTCCATGAACAAGTGATCTCTTGTTTCCTGTGCTTCTTTACATAAAACACATAAACCATCAGTAGCAATACCCATATGTTGTAATATAGCTTTAGTAGGAAGTCTGTCCAAAATAGCCATCCAAGCGATCATGCTGTGTTTAGGAATATGGAGGGGAAACCAAATCAGATTACTCCAGTGGACTTTGTCTCTCTTAACCCTAGTCTCGTCCCAAATTGCACGAACTGATGTAGCTCCGGTTGAGAAAACAACGTTGGCTTCATTCCGTAGTTTTAGTAATTTCCTGAAGGTCCAGCTGGTATTAGTACCGCTATCAATGTGCCAGAAGTCTTTATCGTTGAGGACGTAGTTGTGTAGCCAAGCAACCCACAATGAGCCTTCACCTGCTAGGATACTGCGAATAAGCTGGATCATACACGCCTTATTCCACGTTTTCAAATCCTTTAAACCAAGTCCTCCTTCAAGTTTCGATTGGCATATCATTCCCCAGCTTACTCGAGCGCCGGTAGCCACTTTATCTGAACCTTTCTAGAAGAAGCGAGAACAGAGTTGCTCAATCTTTTTAATAATAAATTGAGGTAGAAAAAGTTGTCTGCACCAATAGTTTGCAACACTGAACAAGACCGCTCTTATAAGTTCAAGTCTACCTGCATAAGACAAGAGTTTACTTGACCAGTGGTAAAGCCTGGACTTGATATTATCAATGAGAACGACACAGTCCTTTTCAGAGAGTTTCCTAGTGACCAAAGGGACACCTAGGTATCTCACAGGAAGGTAACCTTGCTTGAACCACGTAGTTATGTTAATGAACTCTAGGATATTAGAAGGAATACCAATTGCATAGAATTCGCATTTGGCTGCATTTAACTTTAGGCCAGACATTTCATAGAATTTGTCTAAAACAATAGTGACTCCGACAACCGAATCCAAATTTCCTTTGCAGAAGATTAGAAGATCATCCACAAACATTAAGTGAGTGAGCCCTATCTTCTTACATTTAGGATGGTAGCCAAACATACCTCTCGCAGTAGCCAAATTGAGAATTTTAGACAACACATTCATTGCAAGGACGAATAAGAAAGGGGATAGTGGGCCACCTTGCCTTATACCTCTTTCACACTTAAAATATCCAGTCAGGCTTCCATTGAAGGAGATGGAGTATTTTGCATTTGAGAAACAAGCTTCAATCCAGTCGATGAAGGTTTTTGGAAGCTGTATAGCATTTAGAACTGAGGAGATGAAGCCCCAGTGCAGAGTGTCAAAGGCCTTTTGAAGGTCAATCTTCAAAGAACATCTGGGGGAAATTGATTTCCTTCCATAGCCTTTCACCATTTTCTGTGCAAGGAGAGTATTGTCTACGATACTTCTACCTTTTACAAAGGCAGTTTGATTTGGAGTAATCATCCCTGGAAGTAAATTGGTCAGTCTTTTTACTAATATCTTAGTAATTGTCTTATAAACAACAGAGCAGCATGAAATTGTTCGGAAGTCTTTGACCTTGCTTGGATTAGGCACTTTAGGCACCAAGGCGATTGTGGTAGCATTGAAAGCTGGGAGCAAGTATGTTTGTTGGAAGAAGTATTTTATTGCGTCTACCATATCGTCTCCAACCACATCCCATGATTTTTTGAAAAAATAAGGTGTGAATCCATCCGGGCCAGGGGCTTTGTCGTTACCTTGATTGAAAACGGCTTCTTTAATCTCCTCTTTTGATACTTCCTTAATTAGATCCGCTGAAGCTTCAGGGGGCAATGTAAATTGCAGCAGGCTTTTAAGTAGAGTGGGGTTGCTCTTGGATACATTAGGATCTGAAGTACCCAGAAGTTTGGTGAAGAATGTAGTCACCTCAGAGGCCATCAAGTCAAAGGATTCAAGTCTTCTTCCTTGCTCGTCAACAAGCACCCTGATTGTGTCGTGCTTGTGTTTGACTGCCACGGCCGAGTGAAAAAATTTAGAGCATTTGTCTCCTTCCTTTATCCATTGAGTTTTGGCCTTTTGCTTTAAGAACATAAGCTCAGCCTCTTCTAGAGATGTTAACTCTTTTTGTAAGATAAGCTCATTCTCGCAGTTGTTTTCACCTCTGAGAGTAGAAAGTTGATGATGTTCCAGCTCCATCCGCTTATTCTTAACTCGAATTGTTATGTCACTGTAGCATTCCTTGTTGAGTTTCCTTAAGCAGGATTTGAGGCGTTTGAGTTTGTGAAAGAGAACATGCATTGGGTTGCCCTGTAAAGTTGATTGCCAGGACTGTCGTACCACTTCCAAATAATTGGGATGATGAGCCCAAAAATTAAAGAATTTGAATGGCTTCGGTTTATCTGCCGGAATTTCTTTGTTGAGGCAAACTAAGGCCATACAATGATCAGAGGGACCCGGGGCAAGGAATTCAAAAAATGAATTTGGAAAATTTTTCACCCATGTAGGGTTGATAAGAACCCTATCAAGTTTCCTCGCAAGGAAAGAGGCTTGTTGTTTGTTGCTCCAAGTGAACAGAGGATAAAAAAAAAGGTGATCCTGTAGTGCTAAGTCTTGAGTGCACTCTTTGAAGTCTTTCATTTCAGGAGAGAAGATAGGGCCCAGGAGATCATGCTCTGAACTTTCATTAAGGTGCAATATAATATTGTAATCTCCTCCCAAAATCCAAGATAAATGGCCATAGCTCCTATCAAGTTCTCGAAGATGACACCATAGATGTTTTCGAGCAGTTCCATCATTGCTACCGTAGACTGCTGTTATAATAAGAGGATTGCCTTGGTAGGATCCTTTGACAGAAACGCATTGTGCAGAAATGTCACAGATTGATAGGTCCAAATCTTTTTTCCAGAGAAACCAAATCCTCCCATTAGTAGCAAAATCATAATTGGTACAAACATTCCATTCTACAAATTTTGTTTCAAATATACTCACTGTCTTCTCTGCTTTAACACGTGTTTCCAGTAGGCAAAGGACATCGACTTTATGTTGGTAAGCCCGTTGAAGAACTTTGTCATGTTTTAGAGGACTATTCAGTCCTCGTACATTCCAAAAGCTGATATTCATTGAGCATGAAAGCTTGGAGCACCCCCATATCCAGCTACTGTTGAACTCCTTGCTTTTTCTAGGTGTTGTTTCTTTTTATTTTTGAGATCATTGAGCAGAGCTGAAACACCTAATGAAGCAGTACGAATTTTTCTAGTTTGATCCTCTGTGACAGAAGAGTGTTCGTCTATGGAATTGAGGATGTCGAATTTGTTTTTTGATCCAGCTAAGACAGATTTTGAGTTGTCTTTAACTGGTCTGCCTTTCTCTCGATTTTTGGTGGTGGAAGAGTTGTTGCCTGTAACATCTAGAGCAGTAGGTTCATTCGTAATAGCTGAAACTTTAAGGTCTGGAAAGTGAATATCTTGAATACCTTCATGTTTAGGATCTGCTACTGGATCTGATGCTTTTTGAACTACGTCCGTGTGAATTTCCTCAACAATAGGAGTTGTTACGTTAAGCACTGGAGCATTTTGCACCATTGTAGTATGTTCGATTGGATCTTGTAGAGCTTCATTTTGACATGATGTTGAGGTCTCGAGTGCTCTCTTTTTAATCCAAACTTGAGTCTTGACTGGAGCTGCATTAGAGAAGCAGTTTTTCTCTGAGTGCCCAAAAACTTTACAATTTTTGCATCTGAGAGGTAGCCATGGCACTTCAACAGAAATAGATGTCGATCTCCCATCTTTGAGAATAACGTTGACGAATTTGGGGATTTCATCAGTAATCCCAATTTCGACACAGATTCTAGCATATTCCAGTCTTGTTTTTGAAGCAGTAATCGAGTCTAAGGAGATAGGATTCCCGATTGCACTGGCAAGATAACTAAGTCCAGTTATGGTATAAAGTTCCAGAGGCACGTTGAAGAGTTTTACCCAAACTGGGATTTTTGACAGATCGAAATTAAGCCTAGTGAGGTTCGGTTCCCATTTTCTAAGTATCATTGGCTTATTTAGGATGTGCCAAGGACCATTATCTAAGACCCAATTTCTAGCAGTTTCATTGTTGAAGGAAAAGATAAAGGTATTTCTTCCTGCCTTACTAACCTGGACACGGGAGCCTTGAATGGCGCTTGTCCAAAGAGTGTTTGTGATCCTTTGCATTGTGACAAGGTTTGGAACAGACCCGAGGAATTGACCCACCAGTGAGAGCTCTCATTCGGAGATTCCATCATCAAGGACTTCAGGCGGTGGGTTTACTGTTGGAATCCCTTCTGGGTAGGACGGTGAGAAAAAATCCAGTTCTTGTCCATTTGAGCATCCAAAGAGTTTCCTCCACTCCATCAGGGGAACGAAACCGATGGTTGGTTGAGGAAAGAAAATAAAAGAGCAAAGAAACAGATGGGACTTGCAGGGAAGGACGATCGATTCACCGGTGACGCTGAAGAAATTTCAGAATCTATCGTGCGCCCAGAGAATATTTTATCGTGCGCCGCCATCAGTTTAACCTTTTTGGAAGTTAAACTCTAATTGGGTTTCTTTTGCATCTATGGTATGGTTTATATATTAAATTCTAAGATAAGGAGTGCCTTGAACATCTCTTGTGACTAAATCTAGGATAGTAATTAGCGGTGGAGGATTCAAAAATATTTTTTTAGGATGAGCACATATATATATATATTAATAATAGAATGTTTTTATATAAGATAGACACAAATAAAATTTGAAGGTAGATATCAATAGTAAAATGAACAATTAATATAAAGAAATTCATATTGCAGAACGTGTCGTTGGCACATAATCAAGCAGAGTAATACCAATCGATTTTGAGAACCCTAATTTAGTTAGATGGTTCGCAACTCTGTTAACTTCACGTGGAATCCATTAGACGTGTGTTGTCCATCCTCGTTGTCGTAAGCATCGAATTATGATTAATCATAAATTACAGACACGATTACTAAAATAATTATTAAAATAATTATCATTCAAGAGTTATCATAATAATAAGAGTATACAAAATTATAGATATGATTATAATATAAATTTTGATTTTTTTGTGTTCTTATTTGAAATGAATACTAACCATAAATTTATTATTGTGATTTAATTTTAAGAGAAGTGAAAGGTTTCTAGATTAAATTTGTAGTGCTTTATGTATGTTTTCATGGAACTGGATATTTGATTACTGTTTAGGAAACTAAAAAAGATGGAACTAGAAATTTTAGGTACAATTATTGCTGGCGACAGTTGTGAGTGATGGGAGATTTTAAACGATTTTATAGATCAAATTGATATTTATTTAAAGTTTAAGGATTAAATTAATATTTTATTTAAAATTCAGGAGTTCAATTCAAAATTAATATTCTTTATTAACGTACTATGTCATTAAATTGATGAGAAATAACCAATCAATAATAAAAATAAGACAAATAAAAACTAAAAGTGACCCTATCTTATTTATTACTATGTTTTAGTACATGAGTTACTAGCCTCCGTTGTTTTGGATGGAATAAAGATGGGCAAAAAAGTTGAATAAATACCGTTTAATTTAAATAGTGAGATGGTGTGAGACGCGAGTCGGAGGTCAATCTGAATTAATCAAAATAAAACCTTAAGAACCGGGAGGCGACCAAAAGAAAGAATGTTTTGCTGAAAATGATTGCCATTGTAATGGAATAAGCTGTAATAGTGGCTTTGTTCATGTGATGTAGGCTCTTGTTGATGCACCTGATATGGTGAGAAAGCCAAATAAACTTTAAAATACCAACTCTCACGTCTCACCCATATCAATATCGATGCTATGGAAAACGCTGATTAGTGTTAATTTCTTTAACTTTTTAAAGAAAAAGGGTAATTTTTCTCTCTCTCTAAAATTCAACTTGCATATGACATAATATTCTGATAGACGAGTTCAATTTTTTGTCGTGTCTAAAACACTTACAATGGCCACAAATTCTTGGAAGGAAAAAGAACGATGGAAAGATGTTTGACAATACGATGAGTGAAGTTGCATGAACTGTTGTAATGGCATTGAACCTTGGGTGATATCCCCTTATACACAGTTGAGATAGCAAGTTTGTAAAAACATCGGCTTAAGATTGATATGGGACTCTCCGTCATTTCCTAATTGAGAGAAGTTCAAAGCTTCGAAGAGGGTGATCATCACGGCTTCCTCTAACAGAGGTGGCACGACTAGATGGTTTAGCCTCGAGGGTATGTTGGATTCTTTGTGTGGTAGACACACGACCACTACTTGATGGTATTCGGTTTTGTGGAACGTCATTGGGTTCGCCGGATGAACTAGGCCTGTTTGTTGCTATAGCTCTTCTTGAAATGCTACCATGCCGAGAAGAACTGCGTCTTTTACCTGTATCAGGGTGCTGGGAATTGCCAACCAACAAACAATCAGAATGTGGAAACATGAGAGATATGAACAGAGTTAAAAGAAAAAAACTAAATAGACAACGCATCAGTCTCATTACTATGCCAACTAAAATGTATTTGCTTAAAAAAATTAAGCTAATGAATAAATAAGGGATCGATGTTCATTATACGTCTATTGATCACAATGCAATGAAATTTGGAATGATTTTGATACGACTCCATAAATCACCTAATTCTAATACAGAGTTTAGCTGTTAAACGAAATATAATAGAAACAGAAGGATATGAAATTGGAACTTGAAATCAAAAATCAGGAAGGAAAAAAAAGTGGGTCTAAAGGTTTGCCATAACATTACTAGAAAAGAATTTGGTGGCTAATAAGCTTTACAGATGGTAAGAATTCTTTTCTAGAAAAGGTTTTCACACAAGACTGAAACTCTATAAAATAAAAATATTTGACAGAAAATTAAAGCTCACCGCATGCTTGGACAAAGTTACATCCTCAGCAGTTTTGTTTCTATAATGATCAGGACGAGGACTAGTACTCGAAACATTTCTTTTGGAAAACGCTTCAGTTGCACCAGTGAGTCTATCCCGAACCTCTCTTCCCACTGAATGTCGATGTCAAGGGGAATAACCCATAAGCGAGTTCAAAAATATAAAGCAAAGTGGTTATTATTAGTATAACATCATATCATACTTAGTAAAGGCAATAAAAGAATCTAAAAGACAAACAAAATTTGTCCTTCATCCACATTGTATAATTTTATTTTATAAACTCATACGAGCATCTTCCGAACCATATAGTTGAGTATCAAATATTTAAGTTCCATGAATAAGGCTTGGTGATAGTCTAGTATCTAATGAGAAATCAATCTATATTAAAGAAAGCAGACCTGAGATTCTTTCTGGTCTTTCAATGGATGGTCCTGCAGCTAAACCTGCCCTTCCACTGGCATGCTGAGAAACAGATGGAAAAGCTGTAAATATTTCAAAGGTGGAAGCAATCAAGAGCCTAGAAGTTTATAAAGCACTTACCCTGCTTCTGGAACTACCGCCAGCCTGTGGATATTTCAACACAGTCCAGTCAAAGACATAGTCAAACTGATAACCTGCAACACTGTGAATTTCAGAACCAAGAAAAAATTATAATAAACTAATCATTATTAAGGAAGCCACGATCAAAAAAACTTACTAACTAACCTTCTCTTATAAACAAGTCTCGGAAAAGCCTTTTCAAGTATGAATAATCTGGTTTATCTTCAAACCGCAAAGATCGACAGTATTGAAAATATGAAACAAATTCCGGTGGATATGACTTACAGAGCACCTACACATATGCCTTTGTTACTAAACAAGGAAACAAGAATAATAACCATAAGATGGGTTAACACTAAATTTTGGGATTAAATACCAAACCTTTGTCAAATTTATACAGCAAACTTCCATTTGCCAGGTAAGCTAAAATAAATTTCACTATAGCAAACATTATAGAACTAAATAGGAAATCTTATCCTTTCAAAATCATTCGTGGAAATAACAATTATGGTTCCAGTGTACCATCCAAGAATTCAAATTGCTTTATAAAGTTTATACCATTCATCAGACATTCCACAAAAGTAGGAAAAAAAGGAATACAAAGAACAGACCAGGTCTGTATAGATGAAGAGGCCTTATGCAAGCACGAAAGATCCAGATATCAGTGAGATTAGTAACTCAAAAAGTTTCATAAAGGGAACAAATTATTCGTTGGATGGCATAAGTGATCAGACCTCTATAGGAGTTGAAACCTTCTTTTCACTAATCTTATCATATTTTTGCTTTTTCGTGCCAGCTTTTAGCCCCTGCCAGGGGAGGCTGAAGCAAAGAAATAGTGCCAATTGAATCAAAAATCAATGTGAAGAAAACTAAGAATGAAGATTCAGTAACAACATTATCTGAAATGAAAAGAAGAAGAAGAAGAAGAAGAAGAAGAAGAAAGATGACAATGTTAAGACTATATACACCAACCTTCCTCTTAGGAAATACATAAGCATATAACCAAGGGATTCCAAATCATCTCTTCGGCTTTGCTCTGCCAGAAACATTGAAGAATGTAAGTTAGTAAAAGAAAGAAGTAAACTTGCATCCATAGTTTATGGCTTGCTGTTACTAGTTGAAAATGACTCACCGATACCAAGGTGAGTGTTCACACTCGCATAACGAGCTGTGCCTGTGAGGTTCTTGTTTTCCCTGCAGCAAAGAACTAGATCAGTTGTTTTATCCATAAAATCTTGAGATCTTCAAATTTAAAAATCTATATTATGAAATCAACAGAGAAATAATCACCTGTATGGGATATGCTTACGAGTCTGAAGATCCCTATACTTCTTTGCAAGGCCGTAGTCAATGATATATACCTGTAGAAACAAAATTAAAAAGGAAAAATTATACCAGAATATTTCAAGCTTTTGATGTGTAACAAAGTCTTATTGCCAATAATGGAAAATATTTTTATCATAACTAGAAATTAAAAAAATAAAGCTAGTTGTGCTAGCAGTTTAATCGGTATGCATGTTTTATTTGCCGTTAACATACAAGAAAAACACAATAACTAGTACCTGATTTGCCTTGCGTCCAAGGCCCATCAAGAAGTTGTCAGGCTTTATATCACGGTGAAGAAAACCCCTCGAATGCATATATTCTACTCTATTAATCTGGAGGGGAAAAGGTTAAAAAAAGGTAAATTAAATAATAAAAAACCTGCAAACTAATTATTTAACAGAAAAGTCATATATTTACCAATTGATCAGCAAGCATCAACACAGTTTTTAATGATACTTTCCTACTGCAGTAGTTGAACAAATCTTCCAAACTGGGTCCAAGAAGGTCAATTACCATGACATTGTAATCCGCCTCAACTCCAAACCACTTGAAGTGGGGAATACCCGCTGTACCAAGATGAACCCAAACCAATTTATTTAAAGATAAAATGAACAAACGTTTAAAGATTAAGTAGATAGTGCATGATTATGGAAAGGGATTTGCTATTGCCTTTCAAAACCAGAAGCTACCAAGACTAATACTAAACTGAATGAAGAGTGAAGATCGATTTAAATGTAATATGAGAAGGAAATAAATGGCTTCCATCACATCAGAGAATGCACGTTTTTCTCTCAGGTTGTTTTCTTGTATAGTGACAGTGCAGTGGAAAAGGCTAACCCACAGAAGACTATAGTCAAATTATAATGTCATACCAAACAATTTTCCACACATACAGACGGAGAGCAAGGCAGAGAAAGACTTACTTCCTCCTTGAAGAAGCATATACAATTTTGACTCGTAATGAAGTTGTGGATGCCTGGTCTTCAAAGATTCCTGAATTGGGAAAGGGGGGAGGGTTCAAGGTCATTGCACTTGAAGTTGAAAAAAATATAAATTTCACCAAATAAAATATTGTTCTCAGCTGCTTGTTGTCCATGAACCATGATTAGGAATTAATTCACAACCTTCAAATTCACACCGAAAATCATGTATTCTCACATGAAATGAGTAACACCACATATTGGTTTCAAGGAAAAAAGAGAGAGAGCCGTGCAGGTTGGAATTTGGAACAAAGTTGATAGATTGTCTTCCAAAATTACACTTAAGCAATGATAATTTTAAACACCTTTTCTCTCAGAAGCATGGTTTCATTTACTCATTCCTATGAAAACATTCTTCTTCTTCAAAATGGAAATTGAATGAACAGAGCTGGATACAGAAAACAAATTTCTTCTCGTCAAACAAATGACGAAAAGCATCTGCAAACTAAAATGCATTTGCAAACCAACTTTTATTTTTTTTTCGAGAAAAAAAAAGTTACTAAGAGAGCCTATTTCTTATCATGTTATTACTCAATGTCTATGATACAATGTAGTTAAAATCCAAAGGTTAACAACAGTAAATAAATAGATATATAAGCAAGAATAACTGCCAACATTCTTTCTTTTACTTTTTTTGGCATTTTATTTCTTTGATGCAAACATTGTAAATGTTGAGACTCAATAACAGTCCACCGGAAGCAAGTATATTACAAAATGAAGAATGCTTTATTTAATTCAAAGACCAAACATTCATCATTAGCAGTTGATAAACAAAGTTACAAATAAGTCCACCAGAAGAGCAACAAAGAGACTATCAAAAAACCATACTCAATGATATATAACATACCAGTTTGACAGCAACTTCATCTCCAGTTTGCACATTTACCCCTTCAAAAACAAAAGGAAAAAAAGTCAGAAAAAGGAGAGATACGATATAGACAAAGAAACAGGAAGCATTTTCCGTTAAAGGGATTGGGATTATTATACCTAAATAAAGCTCTCCAAAAGAGCCACTCCCAATTTTTCTTCCAAGCTTGAACTTGCCACCAATTACACGATCCATCTCAAGCCACAAATATAAAAGCTTCTCAATTTAACAATAGCGGAAGCCCCCCCCCCCAAAAAAAAAAGCTTAATCTAAGCTGTTTTCACCTGATTTTTGTCAAATTCAGAGTCTATTCCCCCCAAACCAACATCCTCAAAGTTTGGGGGATTTAACAAATTGATAACAAACCTCCAACAGATCAACTGAAGATGAAAAAAATCCTTAATCTTCTTCAATAATTAGCAGGGATAAAATCGTCAAGATAAAAAACTGAGGCTTCAACTAAAAGAACAATAAGACGAAAAATGAAATCAAATTCGAAAGATGTGGCTAAGAAAAACCGGAGATTTCAATCTAAGCCCAGGAAAGGGAAGAAAAAAAAAGAAAGACGCTTTTGTTATAATGATTATCAGAAAGACCCCAGTTTCGTCAAGTACATACCAGGCATAGCTTGAGAATGAAATCCCCAAATTTTGCAAAGGAAACCCTAATTTGGGAAGAAAAAGAAAGCTACATTGCCATGAGAAGATGAATCAACATGCAAAACCAAACATCCATATATGTAATCAAATAAAAGAAGACGGCTGGAAAAGAGGCCGAAAACAAAGAAAGAATCGAATTAAATAAGAAAAATTGATCTTTTTTTCTTCTTTGGGATAAAAATAAAAGAAGAAAAAAAATAGTAAAGGGATAGTTTTCAGCAGCTGTTTGTTAACGAGGAAAGACGATTGAAAGACCGCGAAACGGAGAGAATTTAGGAGAAAAAGATAGGAAGGGAGAAACGGAAGCTTTATTATATATTTGTTTTTTTATAATATTTAAAAAGTGAAAATGAAAAAGACCTGAGAACACGTTTGTCTGAATTATTTTCAAATCAATGTGGGTGATTATTATAATTTTAGTTTAATGTAATTATATATTAAATTTTAATTTAATTTTTATATTTGAAAATAAATAATTAAAACTATTTTTATCAAATTAATACAATTATTTATATTGATAGAGAATAAATTTAGAACGATGTCACGAAATTTATTACACTAATCGGTAAAAATTGAACAGTCATAATGTATTGAATATAGCACGAAATTCATGTATAAAGTTTGTGTATAGCTTTCCTATTTATATGAGATTAATAGTTGTGTCTAGGTTATTAAAGTCATAGACTTTATTTATAATTTGACGCTTGAATTATACCCTTATTTTTTATTTTGATCTCATTTTAATTATTATTTTTATATTATTTCATCTAAAATTGAAAATGTAAAATAAGATAGTATAATATTTCATATTTTTATTATTAAAATTAGGATAAAGTTAAAAATAATAAAATGAATATAATTTAAAGATCAAACCTTATATTAAACTATCAAATTTGTATTAATTATTAGTTAGTTTATCGATTCATTCGTTGGGTTATTTGATTTATTTCAAAAATTATAATTATAATATACAATGCTTCATCTCTTCTGTTGTGCCTCTCTTCATACTTAAATGGTTCAGTGCGAGTGGAGCTCCTTTTTCGTGCATTTTATCGGACACATTTCACAGTCCGACCAATAAAACACTTTTTATTTTGTCACGAGCTGCGAGAATAGGATCGAAATGTGTTCGCCAATATCTATTAAAGAAATTGTGTGGAGTGTTGAGTTTGTTTAAATCACCTAATTTAGCATGATTTTTGAAAAGTAATAAAAGACTATCGTATTAATCTTGGTAAAAAGAGAAATGACGTCTTATCAGAGAATATTCCGAAAGATCATGTCAAAGCAGATGATCTAGACAAGTTCAACACCCTGCACAAAACCTCTTTAATAGATATTGATGCACACGTCCTAGTCCCACTCTCGCGGCCCCTGACATTTTCTTTGGCCTAGAATCACCTAGCAGTTATGTGGCGAAGTTGTACATGTATTCACTGCTGGTTCTAGGGGTGGGGGAAGTTTGGGAGCAAACACATCTGTTCAAGAAGTTCTAGCGGGTGGCTGCACCTCAAGGCTATCAGATGACATCAACGGTTACAAACTTTGATTTTTGTAAAAAAATTCCATGGAAAATTTGGTAGAGTTTCTCCCTATTCAGACCATCTCAAGGCATGCAAAACTCGTTAAACATGAAGAAATAATAGAAAATAATAGAGAGCAGAGTCGGTATCTATCTCGGTGCTAAACTGTTAACATTTTGCAAAGTAAAGCTGTATACATGATGGTATGATATGACTTAGTAACTTTGTATAACATTTCTGCAGCCTTTGACACTAAAAGAATAAACAGAAGAAAATATTTTGCCCCTACTAGTATCAGTAAATACTCCTTACTCTTTTTTTTTTTATTTTCCCTTTTCAATTCTCCTGTTTGTTTTGACCTTTATTTAACTGGAAAAAAATTACTTTGATCAGCAGTAGCTTTCCTTGGTATTTAACCTTAAAGGTGAATCAAACCTGAAGTTTCAGTACACAGAGCTTTAGCCACCAACATTTCCAAATGCAAGAGATGGCATGGAAAATTTCCGGTTGAGTATCAGAATGCGGTTGGTTAGTCACCCAAACCCACTTGTCCTTCTAACAGTTCAAACAGATGGGGCGAGTTACTGGGACCCGTACTGCTTTTCAACGGCTTCCAGTTCAGGAGGCAAGAGATTTAAAAAGCTACCTTGAACAGGCGGATCACTAGGTGTCTCTGAAGTCTCTGCCTCACCATCTATGTGAGTATCAGATAGAAAACTTGAATCTGTTAAAGATAGTGGCAATAAGGTATATGTCTGCGGATGTCGAAATATCCACCAAAACATATGAAGTATAAATATAGGGGGAAAAAGTATAAGTACCAAAAAGTGTCTTAACCGATGGTTTACTTGATTTGGTGTTCTTCTTCTTCAACTCAGCTAAAAATAGAAATAAACTGTCAGCTTGTAAAGGTGATTTCCAAAATCAAAATACTGAAACTCGTAAAAATCTTGTGTCACAAAAACATGGAGGTATTATGTAATATCAGCGCAAATTCCGAGTAAGGATAAATACTAAGCGCAAATTACTAAAACAACCATGTTCCAGATACAGCAGAATAGATATATAAAGTTGAGATGTGGTGTTCAGGCCAGCTTATAATAATAATAATAATAATAAATAATAATATGCTTAAGCATATCTTGAAATATTCGTCAGCTAGGCATTGTTACCCATGATTCTGGAACAAGTACATGGCTGTCTATATACATAATTCCATGTAAGGCGGAGAAAGAAGAATACCCATTCCAGGCACTTCAAAATCATTGGCAATTTCAAAGTTTTTGTATGTGTATCCCATGAAATTTACGTCCTTGGACGAAAGCATCTGAAACATAGAAGGATGATCAAGAAAAACAGTAATGTATGTCATGAAAAATTCATCATAAAAAGGCCTCTTTGGCTTATTAGCAGACAAACAGTACATACATGCAAAAACCATCCTGACATAAGCATAATAACAACAAGAAGAAGAAAAAGCAGTATTCACCAATAGAACTCTACAGTAGAGAGCCAAAGAAAAGAATCACAGCTTTATCATCTGCTAACAGGAAACTCAAATGCTATAGGTAGATTACTTTGATACAATACAAATGATACTGAAAGCTTACTTTCCTCCATGGACCAGATTTTGATGGCCTAGAACACATTTCTTCGGACTGCACAATGAAATACAAGCAAATAGAAAACTAACGTCATAATACAATAAAGTTGCAGCATGATTAGCAGTACTGAATTCGAAAATCAAGGGATAACAGTACCTCGTCAAACTTTTCAAAATTTTGAGTATCTAGCTCATCATTAACCTCGGGAATAAAAGCAGCATCAATTTCATATATTCTATCCCAGTCCACGCCTTGAAACCATGGATGTTCCTAGAGAAGTAAAAAAGAAGCAAGATAGCCTTCTTTTTCTGGAAACAAGTGTAAGGAACATATCCAAGAATCTAGAATAGAGCACTGCAAACAACACCTTAATTTCACCTGCCCCATTTGATCCTAGCCTGTGATTAACATCACACAAGAGTTTGCTAATTAGATCTGTTGCCTCTGCAGATAATTTTGCCTCTTCAGGAAACTTCAAATGAGTTCTCCAGTTCACTATCTATGCCAGTAATATAAAATGTGATATTGTTAGACAAATGGAACTTCTTAAATTCCTCCTTTTTCTACTTCGCTTCAATCATTTTATTGTACTATATTAGCTGTTACACGTCTAAAAAGGAATTATATCAGAATTTGCTTTTCCAAATAAAAATTCATAAAACAAGAAAAAATATATAAAAAACATATATATATATATATATATTGATGGACTCTGACAATTTCTTTTCCCATTCCAGCCTCGGCATAATCAGGAACAATGAACAGAGATAATATGAGATAGATCCAGACAAAAGCATCTAATGAGAAGAAAAAAAAAATCAATTGTCAATATTTGTCAGGTTACCTTCCTACACGTTGACATCGAATCATCTGAATAAAAAGGTGGATATCCCACAAGCATTTCAAACATAATGGCACCAAGTGACCACCTATTCAAAATAATAATCAGTCACAATAACCTATAATACTGTCTAAATGCGAGAAATTAATAAATTATAGACGTCATCAGAGGACAGTGTCACTTTAATTCATAATGTGTCATTGAGATATTAAAGCTAATCTTTCAAAATGAAGTCAGCATTCTATATAAAATAATTAAAAATGAAAAATCCTCTAACCTGCAACTAGACATAGCCAATTCTTTTCTAAATTACCACGTTACAGTTTAAATTACAATGTCAGACAAACAAAGGTATTAATATCTGCACAAGATTTCTTTTCAAAATACATAAATACTGACCAATCACAATCCATTCCATAACCTTTCTTCAAGAGGACTTCAGGAGCAATATAGTCGGGAGTTCCGACAGTAGAATAAGCCTGCAAAATGCAAGCATTTGACAAGAAAAAATGAATAATCAAACAGTCACTGCTGAGTGCTTCAAATAACTCAGAAACATTACTTTAAGAAGCATACACAAACACATACAAACAGAAATAATTATATATACATATATCATGATATAAAAGCGATGCAGGGTCCAATATGTTTCATTTAGTGATTCCATGATTGAAAAGATGCCCAGCGAGTCCATCGTCAATTCACCCAACAAGGGCAACATAGCTCAAAGCCACCGAATTTTGAATTTAACGACTAATTGAATGAGATATTGTGGGATAAAGGGACAGTTGAGACATAATGACTGAGACTCACAAGCGTTTTACGGTTCTTTTGCCAATGTTCTAGTTTCTCTTGCTGCGTTCTCTTTGAAACTGATGAGCGTTCACCATTTCCCCCAACCTCGTTAGTATTGCCTCCTACAGTAAAATCATTTTCTTGGATGGTACTGCAATCTAAGGGTTTACATAGTCCGAAATCTGACAATCTCAAGTGTCCATATCTATCCAGTAGCAAATTGTCAGGCTTGATATCCCTACGACATTCAGCACTCAAAAGGTTAACCCTACGTAAGAAAAAAATGAAGAAAAAACTCCTTCACAGTTTATTTTATTTGTATACTAACCTGTGAATATAATTGTGTTTGTGGATAGATTCAATAGCCAAAACTGTCTCTGCAACATAAAATCTAGCTTCATCTTCAGTCAGATATCCTTTCTCATAAGTAAGGTCAGGTAGATATTCCATTACGAGATAAAGGTAGCCATCATCTTGGAAAGAATAGTAGAGTTTGACAATACAATTGCTGTCAACTTCAGCAAGAAGGTTCCTTTCAGCTTTCACATGCTCAACCTAAAATAAGAAAGAAAACATCCAAAAAGGTAATATAGTAGAAAACCTCAAGAATACCACATCGTAAGAAAAAAATGAAGAAAAAACTCCTTCACAGTTTATTTTATTTGTATACTAACCTGTGAATATAATTGTGTTTGTGGATAGATTCAATAGCCAAAACTGTCTCTGCAACATAAAATCTAGCTTCATCTTCAGTCAAGATATCCTTTCTCATAAGTAAGGTCATCATATCTCCGCCAGGTAGATATTCCATTACGAGATAAAGGTAGCCATCATCTTGGAAAGAATAGTAGAGTTTGACAATACTCATAAGTAAGGTCATCATATCTCCGCCAGGTAGATATTCCATTACGAGATAAAGGTAGCCATCATCTTGGAAAGAATAGTAGAGTTTGACAATACAATTGCTGTCAACTTCAGCAAGAAGGTTCCTTTCAGCTTTCACATGCTCAACCTAAAATAAGAAAGAAAACATCCAAAAAGGTAATATAGTAGAAAACCTCAAGAATACCACATGGCAGAATGAATGAATACCTGGCCTCTTCGAAGCATTTCCGATTTCTTAAGCTTCTTCATAGCAAATACTTGGCCTGTTGTCTTTTCCCTACACACTCTAACCTGCACCATAAACACAAGTTTAAGTAACTCAAAAAAATTTGGAGGAAATTAAGTAACCTATGGTATAGAACCATAGGTACTACCCCGCACAAGGGCAAAACAGAACAAGATATATGACAGGTGGCATTTGTATACAAGTATACCTCTCCAAAGGCACCCTTGCCAATCATGGTTAGTAATTCAAAGTCCTCAACACCGAATTTAAGCCTTTGACGACGCATGTATTCAGTTTCTTTTTTCTCCAGGTACTTACGTAAGTTATTTTGATCTTCCTCAGAGAGGTCAGCTTCCGCCAGTTTCTCTTCCAGGATTATTCGTCTATCAAAAATCGAATTATTAGAAAATGGATCTGCAAAATGAGATAGTAATCTATACACTAGAGCTTAACATACATGGTAATAAAATGCCCAATGTCAAAGTTTCATTGAAAGAAATCAATTGCAAATTGATATATTTCATAAACCATCTCTACCGTGCTTCTTTTGACTCTTAGTTATCACTTATCATGTCTTTAGAACAATTCAGTGCATCGATTACTACGTCTTGGCTCTTGGCATACACATTATCTTTTTCATACTTTCTTTTAAAAGTCATGAGATAATTCCTCAATTTGCGATAACTTTGAATAACTATTTAAAAATCACACAGCCAAAAGTTGGATTGAATATTAGTGTTTCAGATATATCTGATGATATCATCAGTCCTCGATGTAATTAACAGCTTATATTGAGAAATGAAAGATAGTTGAGCAAGTTAAGCATAATATTAGGAAGGTAAAGGGGCGAGGAAGCCATACCGCTCCCTTCTTTCTTGCAGGTTCCTCATTTGTTCCTTATAATGATTCTCAATGTACTGCTTCGCAGCGGCGACCTTTTGTCTGGTGATATTGGAGAGATCTTCGTCGTCCACATTGGCTTCGTCATTCCCTCCGTTTCCAGCGTTGGACGTCTCCTCATTCCTCTGCCCAGCCCTCAACTTATCCTTCGGTTGTAGCTTTGAAAGCCAACCCTTCTTCGCTGAATCCATTTTCTCTCATCAAAATCAAATCTCACGCAAACAAACATTCCCTCGCATTCTGCATGTCAACAACATATAAATATTAAAAAAAAGTAAAAAACTGATCATCGAATTTCGAAAAAGTACCAATCAAGCAATCAAATTCGCGCTGCAGCGTAGTTTACGTGTGACAATACGATCCGCGAAAAACTCTCCCGGCTATTTCGCTGCGCTTTCTTTGTTTCAATAATTATTATGATTATTATTGCTTTTCAAAATAAAATTGGAATGTGAAAAGGAAAAAGAAAAAAATTTCTGAGAGGCGAAAAATTGTTTGGTTTTCTTGTCTCGCGCGTTATTCTCTTCTGTTGTTTTCTGATCGCATACTTTTCGCTCGCATTTGTATGCGTCTTACGCCCCCACTTTTCCTTCCGTTTATATTTAGCGGCGGATCTTTTTAAAGTGTGGAATATGAAATGTACAAGTAAGCAGTAACACCAAATTTTTATATAAGATGAATATAAATAAAAAAGAAAATTTTAAAGTAGATATAATTAATAAAATAGATAAAAAATTAAAAAATTAAATATTTGAGTGGGAGCATGCCCATCTTTATATAAGGGTAGATCCATCACTATTTTAAATTATTAAAAAAATATTAGACACACTATTTAACACTCGTAGTTAAACTTGAAATTTTAAGTTAGGTCAAATAATGTCTAATTCGATTCGATAAGTTTGGAATAATTCTTTAATTTTATATATACATATATATATATATATATATATATATTTAAGATGTTCTTTGTCTTATTTTTAAGATTGATTATGTATTGTTAAACTTTTTTTCAAAAATGATTACAATATGTTAGTTTGATTTATTTAAGGATTGTTACTTTAGTTGTAATATGTATTTTAGAATTCATTGAATTATTTTTCAGTGAGTTTTTTTTTAAATTGCATGTAAAATTATTAAATATATGATTATAGTAAAATTAATCAAATAAGACTACCAGCTAACTGTCAGTGTATCGTAAACGATATTACACACTAAAGCTACAAACTAAGCTACTAACGATTCACATATAGCATAAACTTAACTAAATGACAATAGGTTGGTCACCCATAAGTATTGATATGAGAACATTTGTGTTTGGGATAAAGTAATTAATTAGTAGACCGAGTCAAGAGAATGAAACGGATTTTTATTTATTCAATATTTGATTACTTTATTTATTTTTGGTATTTAATTCGATGTAATTTTTTATTTTCAAAAATTCAAATCAAATAATTTGTTTGAATAATAAATTACATATATATGTGTACGTTTAATTTATTTAATCACACTTAATAAATATTTAATCCAAATACAAAATTAAATATTTTAAATAACATAATTCAATTTAATTAATTGTATGTGTTAATTTTGACCGTGATAATCTTTTTATTTGGGGTCTGTTCTGACACAAGCCTCATTTTCATTTGCACCTTACGGTTCTTACCCTACTGAAAATCCAAATTGTTGAGTTCGGGGTTAAATGTCCGGAGGACAAACTCCGTGAATCTAACTCAACACTTGGACAATAGGGTAATTTCATGTTTTTATTCCAACTGCTCGCTCTATTTCCATTGCACTTTGCAAGTACTCACCCCAAACTCACTCGATCACTTTGCACACAGCAAAGACTGTGAAGACTTCAAACGGACAATACAATGCCGACGAATTCACATTCCGTAGGTTTTCTGTTTTTCTTGATCTGAAAATCCAGGTTTTCCCATATTAAGTAATTTCTAATTTTCAGATCCTATTAAACAGTTTTAATCTTTGCGTCAATGAATCTCAGTTTTTGAGGCTGTTGACCGAGTGGATGTTGGATTCTAATTGCAGGACATGGCCAGAAGTCTAGTTGGATTTATGGTTCGATTACTCTTTCTATCAATCTGTGAAGCGGCTTCGGTTTTTCAGCCGATCTCCGATTCTCATCGATCTGCCGCTCTTCAGTCCTGACAGTGGATCCTTCAAGAGGTTTTCTTGATCCCTTGTTTATTTTTTTGATCACATTTATCCATTTGATGGTTAAGAAATGAAATTAGGAGATAATGGGGAATAAATACCTTTGAAACTCAAACTTAGTTATGTTTATTTTTTCCCTCCGTTTTCAGTGATGAGGAATTTGATATTCTAGTTATTGTTTCTTTTATTGGAAATAAATAGAGGTATTTTAGAATTAGGCTTTAGGAATGCCTATATTATTTGATGTAATTGATCTCACCAGTTTAGAAGAGACGTACGAAGCACTAAGAACATTCGACGTTCTTGGAATTTAAAAGAAGCCTAATGTAACCGCCACAGCTTGCCGTTTAATTTCGGAAGCTGTTGGGTCATCATCATCAACCCCAAATGATATTTTCTATGCTTTGAAAGCAAATAGCATAGCGAAATGCAAGATAAAAGATAAAGCTTTTCAGGTGTTTAATAGACTTTACCAATTTGGCACTAACTTGTCATTGAAAATATTTGAATTCTTTTTTAATCCTGGATCTTAAATTGTGTTTTTATTCATTTTCAAAAGGGCATTACAACAAGACTTAATGCTGCTGTTAATGGCGCAAATTCATTGCTTGACTTCTACTATTCAGTAGGAGGTTTGGTGATTATCAAGGTAATAAATGAGTACATGACGCTGTTTATTATGATAACGCAATTTAATAAATCTTATGTGTTCTCTATCGAATATATGCATGCACTAAATTTTCTTTGTTTACTATTTTAATCAAGAGACCTTTTTTTATCCAGCTTCTATAGCTTTTTAGTTGTTTCTATTCCCCCCTTACATTCTAATACATTGCTCGTCAATGCTGGATCAGAGTTCCAAAGCTGACGTTCATCCTGCTAATGCTGATGGAATTTTCAAATCGGTCAAGGTTTGTTATTATTACTATATTTAGTTTGTGGTGAGATTAAGATATAGTGCTCACACTCTCCGTATCTATCCAGGCAGACTAAGTCCTACCATTTTGGGGGACTAGTTGATGGTATGGAGAGATTTTGTTTGTGGAGGACTCATACTTGAACTGCCTCTAACGTCTAATCTTATTTTTATATTAGCTTTTCACTTCAGCCAACTTCTAACATATGTTTTTCATGAATGGTTGATTTTATTTTACAAAATGTTTTCAGGCTTTTAGCCAGAGTGATGGTAGGTGGCGCTATAGTTCAAATAACCCTGAATCCAGTGCATTTGCTGCTGGTAAAGATTTTTCTAGATTCTAAAATTTGTTTTTTGAGACAACTTCCTTTGGTGTCCTATTGTGTGCTCCTTAAGGAACCCTTCCCAAATGCTCCAACCTTTTCAATTAATACCAACACTTTTAGGATCATACCAAAATTTCTATGCACATATCGTTAGATAATTTGGTCCATGTTTTTCTCAGCCATGTGTCTTTCTAATACCAAAATATCTAGCGACCAAAAAATTGGTGTAGAGTTAAAAATTTTGATTTTGGGGCTTACATTTTCTGGTAAACCTGTAAACATTTTGGTGTGATATAAAAATATGGGTATTCGAATAAATATCCTGGTAAATTGTTTTAAATTTTGTTAGATAAGTACATCGTTTGGTAAAAGTGATATAAATTATGGGTCTTGTTTACATATTTTGGCAAAACATTAAAACCTTTGGTCTATACATATTTTGGTAAACCATTATGAATTTAGGTGTATCCATAAAATTTAGATATCTGAGTACATATTTTGGTGTAGCGTTAGACATTTGATATATGTTGACATATTTTTGCATTTTGGTGTAGCTTTAGGAACTTTGGATAACAGTTAACAATGTTGAATGAATAATAAATGTTGTAGAGCAAAATAATTTGGTATTAGTATTAGTTATTAGTTATTTTTGGTACTGTAGAAAATTGAGGAAAGTATTTTGTACAGTGATCAATTGGATTCACTGTGTTTTTCCATTTATTAGAATAAAACTGTAAGTCTGCTTACATAGACTAATTTACAGAGAGTTCTAATACAAGTACAATTACTTTAAACAAAACCCTATCCTATCTAAGAGATAAGAGATAAGATAGAGAGTTATTTAAACTACTTAAGAGATAAGAGTTAGATTTTCTCCTAAACTGTGAACAGATAATATCTACAATAATTTAAATCTTTAATCCTTATCATCTACAACCAACAGGTACTAGTTAGAAACATTGACCGACTGTTAACTAGCATTGACCGACGGCTGATCGGCATTGACTGTATACTCATATTTTTAACAAATACCAAAATTATTATACACAAAGACACCTTACGAAACACCAAAATTATTATACATATATATTTAGGTGTAGTTTTAGAAACTTTGGTAAAGCTTTATAAGTTCTGTACTGCCGTAGAAACTGTGAAATGAGTACCAAAAACTTTGTAACGCTTTACCAAATTATTAATCAATTAACCAATTTTTCTACTTTATTTATTGATTAATGAAGGAGTGTTTGGGAAGCGTTCCTTAAGGAGCATTCCCTAGAATTTTCCCAATGTCCTGCACAACCACCATTTAGCATTTTTGTTTTTTTCTGAAAGGCAATATCTTCATAGATGTTGTTTACCTTTTTTTTTTTTTTTTTCCATTTATCAATTGTTCAATTCAGTTTTGAGATAGTTATTTTCAAGGCATGTCATATTTTTGCAGGAATTGCTCTTGAAACACTTGCAGGAGTTGTTTCGTTAGCATTTTCTGAACTTGACCAATCATTGGTAAGTAGTAAATGTTGCTTGCTTTGATTTGGTGCAGTTTCGACCAATTTATGTTTCTGAATTGTTAATCAGCTCAAAATGTATGATAAGATGTTCCCTTGTTAAACTTCATGTATTTTTTTTTTGTGAACTGCTTGGGTTCAGCTATATAGGTTTTACAGTTTCTGAATTGGTTACCTTTTACCCTTAATACATGTGTAATATCTAGCTTATAGATGTGGTGGATCTTAATCAATGTTTCTTTAAGGCAATATAAGGATTATTGCCAGATATTCAATTATTTTTGTGTTATCATTAAATTTTCTTGTTGAAAAAAAAGAGTGGACTGTGGGTTATCCCTCTGGTGATGATGAGGGCTTTGTGAACTCTTGTAAGGAAAAATGGATTTTCCTTCTTGTAAGCATCGAACTACCTTTTTCTGTAGCTATGAGTACTTCCTTAAAACTCGCTAGGCTGTCTGGTTAAATTCCATAAACCATATTAAGCTGAAGAGGGTTGTTTTAAATTCGCGAATAACACAAGACTCATCCAGCGAGCTTAAAATAATCTGCATTTCTATTAATGATTAGATGTTTTTCATTTCATTACTTCAATTAGTCATATGATGGTGTCTTTTGATATTGAATTTTATCTGCTCAAATGAGCAAGTTTTGCTTTTATTATTTTTGTTGCTTATCTTCCATTGTTAGTTTGCGCGTTCCATTTTATACGTTGGGTTATTGTTGGCAGATCAGTACTCTCAATAATGATATAAGCAAGCTTTTTGACAGTATTGAGAAACATGGTATGTATAGTTTCTCCGGGGTTTTTTCAATTTCTTTTATGTTATTTTTTATGGGTTCGACTTTTCTTCAATTTTCTCTTACTTCCATTAATCATTTATCAATAAAAAAAGAATAGTTTAACCAATTTCTTAATTAATTTTTTTCATCCTTTTATTCTCTTTTTTTTAGACGGTGAGGCTATTTACTTTGATGATAAACTTGTTGATGGACATGACTATTAAGGTACCTTAGCAACCACCTCGTCTGTTGTTAGAGGACTTGCAGCATTTGCAGCAGTGAGTGATGGGAGTGTTATTCTCCGTTGGGAAAGTTCACTCATCGTGCACTTTTAGCCTATTATCCCTTCTTCTCTTCTCTTCTCTTCTCCTCTTTTCCTTTTTTGGGCAGTGTGTTGTAATCCTTCTGGTTTATTTCTGCAGCTTCCAGGAAACAAGATACTTGGATTGGCTAACTTTTTCCTTGGTATTGGAGTTCCTGGTGATGCCAAAGATTTACTCAACCAAATAGATTCCTTAACTTGTCTGGAAAGCAACAGGCAAGATCTTCCTTTGTCACTTTTAATGTATCTGTATTTATTTAATATAAATTTTGATAATGATATTAGATTTCGTAGACCTTAAATGCAAAATTTCAGTAGCTGTTTACGATGGTGTGTTATGGCAACCTTTTTCTTTGGTTTTTGTAATGAAGCTCTGGAGAATAGATCTTAAATTTCACACATGCCATGCAGGGTTTCCATCCCACTGATCCTATCACTTCCAGCTACAGTGCTTTCGTTGACCAAAAAGGACTCAATCCAGGTTTGTCCTAAGTTAAAATCCTTGACATGGATACTTAAGTTCTAAAGTGGCAGAAGCCTACCTCCCAAAGATTGATGGTATTAGTATTAGTGGCATTCTATTTTGCTTTTCTGTTCTACCGTAGTTTTTGCATCCCGAGTGCTTTATATGATGTAGTGTGTGCTGAACACTGTGGGGATTGTTTGAAAAACATTTTATTAAAAAAGGATATTTTTTTCACATGATTCATTTTGTGGTGCAATGACTTGCATTTCACTCCTTTATTCATTTGCATACATAAGCCTTTTTGTACCGAATTTGGATTCATTTAATCTTAGTTTGTAGGGTTTCATTATTCCTGATTTTTAACTCTTCTCTTTGAGTATAACAGGTTAAAGTTAACACTGTGCTTGGTTCAAATGCACCACCTCTTACTGTGAAGCTTGTGGGAGCTTTTACTTCTGGTTCAAAGGAAGCATCTCTAGTTGAAAACCAGGTTTGTTCTTTTATGAAGCCTTTTCCATTTTGTTGGACGTAATTTCTGCTGTATACCTGCTATACATTTGCATTTCTTTTGTTTTATTCGATTCAGTGTCTAACAAATACTATAAATATAGGAACTTGTGTTTGATGCTGGAACTAGGCTACATAACTTGAACAACTTGACAAAGAGTATAGATGTTGGAAGTTATACATTTGTTTTTGAGGTATTGTTGGTTTAATCAGATTCTTAGATTTATAGTTTAAGCTTTGTGAAGAGGAGTGGTTTAGGTGGTGTTCTTAAAGACGTATCTGGTTCGATCCTAGCATCTTTCAAAGAGTCTGCTGGTCCAGGGCCTCCTACATTGATGTAATTGAAAGCTATCCTAAAGGGTCTGGTTTTCTTTGAATCTCTATTCGACAGAGATATAAGGAACGTTTGATTATCGAGAGTGATAGTAGGGTGGCTGTCGACTGGGTTAAGGACGCTGTTCTATGTCCTGATGTTTATGTTCATATTGTTAAAGATATTATTCAAAAACTCAGAGATTGTGAAGGCGTCATTAGATGGGTTAATAGGACTGCCAACCTAGAGGCAGATGCCCTAGCTAAGGCCAGTATTGGTTAATCCTCATGTTATTTTTAAAAGGTTGTTTCCTTTTGGTTTTTTTATCTCCTTAAGGGAGTTAGGTGTTGTATTCGTATGTTGATATTGTTGTTAATGAAATCCTAGGGCACTCTTTTCCTCCCTCCGCTGATTAAGGAACTATTTCTCAAGTTCCTTAAATCATGAAGGGGTTTTTTAATGAGGCCTAATATTCTTATAAAAAAAAATAAGTTTAAGCTTTGTGTGCATCTGTGTTTCCCTTACATGTGAAATTGAATTTTTGTAGATTGTGCTTCATAAACCTGAGGATGAAAAGGTTTATGTCACGGAAGGCCCAAAGAAAGTACCAATATTTGTCTCAGGACTTATCAAAATTGAAAACGCAGAAGTTGCTATACTTGACAGTGATCTTGGGAGGATAGAAACACAGAAAAAGTATGTTATCTGTCTCTTTTGCTTATTTTTTTGTACTACTAATTGATGATGATTGGCTTGGGTACTGATGCAATAACACGTGATGGCTCTTTTATAAGTTAGCCTCTAGTCTGTTTGATTTTCTTTTCAAATGATCCCTGACGCTACTTTTTTCATGGTCTTACACCATATATTATAGGCTAGATGTAGCTGGACAATGTGCTGTGTCATTATCAGCAAACCATCTCCAAAAGCTACGTGTATCCTTTAAGTTGACAACTCCTCATGGACTTGCTTTTAAGCCACATCAGTTTCATGTCTTCATTTTTTAATCAATGGTATTCTTTTCAATAGTTCATTAATAAGTTTGGTGGTTTGCAGGCATTACTCAAGTTGAGACATGAAAGCAAGGTTGAACACATCTTTGTGGTTGGAAACTCTGGAGAGCAGTTTGAAATAGTTCTAGTTAAGTCATTTCTTTCGTGGTTGAATAACATTTTGGTGTATATGACAGATTAAATTATTATTAGTATCTGGAACAATTAAAGATTTCTTTATTTCACTGAGAAACAACACATCTGTTGCCTTGCATTACTATCATAGAATATTCTTCAACTAGCTAAGCTTATGCTACACCTATTTAAAATTTGACACTATAGTATTCAGATGAAATATATTCTGTTTATGTTATATATATATATTAATATTAATCTTAACTTGGCTTGTCTTGTAGAATTTTCTTGGGGTGGTTGAGAAATTCTTCTCTCTCTCAGGCAGATATGACATTGAGCTCACTGTTGGTGACGTTGTTATGGTAAGTGCTGCTTTTGCTTTATAAAATTCTCAATTTTTATGATTCTTCAAGTATGTTATAATTATATCTTTTGCCCTTTTTTCTCAGGAGAACTCTTTATTACGAGCTATTGGGCATATTGGGTTAGATGTACCAGAACCACCTGAGAAGGCACCCCGCCCTCCTCCACAACCTGTTGATCCCTACTCAAGATATGGGCCCAAAGAAGAGATAACACACATCTTCAGGGCTCCCGAAAAGCGTCCTAAGAAGGAGCTTTCTTTTGCTTTCCTGGGTCTTAGCTTCTTGCCATTACTTGGATTATCGATTGGGTTTAGTCTTGCATGCTCTACTTTTATATTTTCATTCAATCAGCAGAATGTAACTTACAAGTGTTTGACATTTTCTTGGGTTTTGATTAGAAACTCAAACCGGTGTTACCCTAAATTTGTTTGAAGTTTTAATTCTGGGTTTGAATCAACTCATGAATTTTTGTGAATGGGTCACGTTGCATGCATCTTTCTTATGGTTGCTTGGGGGAGATGTGATCAAGTTGTTTAATACTACTTGATATGATTTAGAAACAAGGATTTGTGTTGGAAAATCGTGAAGTCTTTAATAAGGTTTTGGGGTTATTGAGGTCCTTTGTTTATGTCTGCTTTTGGTTTTATTAGCATCTTCGGAGATTGTTAGGTGATATCTCAATAGGTTGAGTCAGGTGTTTCAATTTAGGTCTTGCTGTTAAGGGGTAGAGGGTTACCATTTTGAAGGCATAATTATTTGGTATGATTATAGTTAATGCTTGTGTAAGTAATTTACTTCAATGATGTGCTAATGCTATTACTTTTGGACTTTTTGATGGTTACTTGGATAGCTATCACGGTTGGGGGTGAATTTGAAGAACTTTCCTAGTACCGATACTGTAGCTGCCACATTTGCCATTTTCTTCCACGTTGGCATCGGAGCAGTTCTGATACTCTGTGTTTTTCTGGTTGAAGGTTAGTTCTTCTGATTATTAAACATTTAAACAATCTGAGCAAAGTCAATTGTCATTTATTTATTATTTATTTTGTATTTCAGGAAATATAAGTTAATTTTTGTTTTCATAACGAATGAAAAACGTTAAAGAAAATATGTTCAGTTATAAAATTTGAAAATGTTTTTGTAGAGAACGAAAATGAATTAAAAATAAAATAAATATTTTCAATATCAACATCATCCTACATTTTTATTTTATTCTGGTCCTAATCTGAATATTGACGAGGTTAAAATTGAAAGAAAACAAAAAGTAAAGGGTTACAAACTACTAACATTAATCGAAAGGGTTAACTACAAAGATAGTAAGCTCAAAATTCTGGTAATTCAGGTAATTCCACCTGTCTCGTGAAAAGATTATACCAAAACTCCATGTTAGCATCGGAAGCGTAGTCATTCACCCCTTCCAATGCTGCTAAAGGAGGAGAGCTCGTGAAATACTGATGCGTTTGTGGGTCCCGAGCAAAACCCACTTCAAAATCGGCGGCCATGCCGGAATTATCAGCCGATAACACTTCCGACCAGAAGTTCTCGTCGATCGCGGAGGCACCATCTCCGTTGGTTTCGGTGTTGGTGGTGGTACCGCTGCTGCTGTTTCTGTTGTTGTCGTTCTCGGTTTTCGTTAGTGTTGAAGACTCGCTGGTGGATCGTTGTGGGCTATCCGCAGTCACGGGCTGTTGTGCTTTTTTGATGTCTTTGGAGGAATCAAGGAGGAGTTGTTGTCGGTTAGTGCCATGGTTGTGTTTCAGCCTCTTCTTCAAGTGGGTGTGCCATACGTTTTTTATTTCATTGTCTGTTCGTCCCCGTAACCTCGCCGCAATCGCCGACCATCTGAAACAAATTAGCATCTTCAAGTATGTACGTAAAATTCTATGTTCAAATGAACTTATAAACCTAAATTTAAAATTTTCACGAATTATTATCCCAAAACCACCACCTCGTGGAAATGACTCTTGTTCTTTAGTGTACAGGTGCAATAAAGGTGGTGATTTTGTCTGGTATTACTTCATTTTTTTATTGTTTTTTAAAATTTTAAAAGTGGGGGTAATAAAGAAAGTGGACAATCATCGAGGAATCTTCTCAGTCCCACATAAAAATGACCAAATTGGGAATTAAAATATGGTGATGAAACCAATGATACTTATTAAAAAGTAAAGGGTAAACTACGTATTTAGTACCCAACTATCATTTTAGTTTTGTTTTGGTCACCTAACTTGCTATTGTTTTAAAATTATAACTAATGTTACCAGTCATTAAAATTAATATCGATGTTGATATGTCACCAAAAAGATAATAACATTTCATCATTAAAAAAATAAAAATAAATGTCATATCAATAATTATGTTAATTTTAAAGAAAAGAGTTTGATGACTAAAACAGAATCAAAGTAATGGTTGAGTGAAAAATACGTAGTTTATCCAAAAATAGAACTTGAATCTGAGATGGAAATGGATACTTACTTGTTACCAAGCATTTCATGTAGGCTGATAATGGTGTCCTCTTCTTCCCTGGTGAAATTCCCTCGTTTAATATCTGGCCAAAAGGATTACCAGCTTGTTTGGGGAGAGCTCGCCAGTTTCCATGGCCGTGAAGTTGGATGTAGTTGATGAGAAGCCCGTCTTCTTCGGGTGTCCAAGGACCTTTCTTCAATCCCATTTTCTCACAACATGGAGCTCTCACCATTCTTCTTTCTCTCTCTCCCTCTTCGGCTAAGCTTTGCTTTGAAGATGATCAGAGGATTGAATTTAAGCTGAAAGAAAGGGTATTTATAGGGCTGCGAAAATATTACCGCATCATGTGAGTTGACACAAGTACACCCGAAAACCAAAAGTTGGGCTGTACAGTAAGTCCAAAAAGTACTACTACAAAATCAATATAAAATTTTACCACTTGATTTACTTTACTGCCATATGCATTTTTTAAAAAGAAACATTATCACATTAACCCTAAACCCTATAAATTAACAAATTGTTTTCTATTTTATATATTATGTATTTTATCTTTTTTTTGTTTGAGTCTTTTTAATTTTAAATAAGATTCTTTATCGTTGTGACATGATTTTTTTATCCACCTTTCCTTGATATTTATTTATGTATTAAAATATAGAAGTATTATAGGTCAAGTCGAGTTAAATTAAATTTTTAGATCATTTAAATTTGATTTCAAGAAAGACATATCGAACTCACATTTTGATATGATTTTTCATGATAAAACATACACTCGGTCCGGATTGACTTAAATGTGTATATATATATAATAATTTTTATTAGATAAAATAAAGATTTAACTTAAAAAATAAAATAGAAAGATATTATTGTAATTATCTCTAAAAATAATGAATAATTATAATATTATATTGAGTTTGGTAAAAAAAAAATCGTCCTAATTGAAACTCGACCTTATCCTTCAAAAAAAATAACCTAACCTGATATAAACTTAAATTTTCAAAATAAAAAACCGATTTAATTCAATCAAATTAAATCAAATCATAACCTATCAAATTCGAACAAAATACTTATCTAATCAAAAACCTATTTTCCTTGGGCAGGTCAAATTGTCAAAATAATTCATGATTAATAATTTAAAACTGGAAAAATAGTATTATAAAGATATTTGCCTATTTCAATTTTTTGCATATATTATATATTTTAGAAAGAACTCGGTGACGGAAAAATTATAGTGCAATCAAAACGATATCGTTTTACTAGTGGATCTCTTACCGTCTTTGAATGATATTGTGATACAAACTGATAACTAAGAATGCTGAGATAAGTTCCACTACTGCTTAAGTTTTTTATTTTATGTATGGAATTTTTTTCATATATTTTAATTAATTTCCTCAAACTATTAAAAGGGTGTAACGCCATTTTAAATTTACTTATTATATTATATATTTAAAAATAACTCTATTTATTTATTATGAAAATGATTAATTTTTTTTTAACAATATATAATTTAATTAAATTAAAATTTCGTGCACTTAATTGTATCGAAATTAATGTCTCATGAATGTAATTAATCCTCATGAAAGTTTTAATATTATATTGCACAGATAAATCCTTGGTGAATTTTATCGGTTTACAATTAATGCTTGGTAATTGGAAGAAGATTTTTAGTTTTTTTTTATATAGAGGGTGAAAAGATTTTTTTTGGGGTAAGTTTATGATTTAAAATCGAAATTAATTCGCTTTTTAATTTGTTATATCATCTGATTAATGGAAGTTAACGTCGAATGATCAAATTATTTTTTTTTCAAAATTGATGATCAAAATAAAATAGATAAAAGAAAAAGGGACCACCAATACAGTCTACTCTTAAAAAAAATAATTATGTTATAGATAATTTGGTATAATATTTAATTTACATAAATGTATATTTTAAAATTTAGAAGTTTTATTTAAATCGATTAAAACACACCTTTAATGTTTGATTAAATAGTTATTTTGACTCTTTTTTTTTATCAGATTTTGATCTGAAATATTTTATTTTGAGGCAAAAATGCCTATCCGTAGGTAGAATCCATTAGTCAACAGTACGTCAACACTTCAAAATATGAGATTTTTACCTTAAAATGATGTTAGATGTCAAAATGCTCCAAAAAAATAAAATAAAGACTAAAATGACTATTAGTTAGAAGTTAGGAATATTTTATCTAAAATTAAAGTATTGAGAACTACAATAATTATTTAATAAAATGTTACGAAATATTTTATATTATGCCATTTAAACTTTAGGGTTTAAGTTTAGAATTTAAAATTTAAGTTATAACATTGAGAGTGTGTTTGGTTCACGGAATGTAAGATTACTAGGGAATATTAGATTACTGTGTTTGGTTAAAGGAATAAAAGATTATTGGAATATATATTTGATCAAATTGTCCTTATTATATATTTGTTTTTTAACAAGTTGGAAAATATTTATATATTTTCTTTAAAAATTTTAAATTCATAAAATTCATATAAGTTTTTTACAAAATTGAAAATATAAAAAGGTTTAATGAAATGGTAAAATTTTATCTTAACCCCTGAACTTCATATAAAATTTTAATTATATATATATATTTTTAATCTAAAATAGTTTAAGGATAAATTTGTAATTTAACCTTCGTAAAATTTTTATTATTTAATTACTGAATAAGGATATTTTTGAAAGAAAAAATTTTAAGGGCATTTTAGTCCAAAACGCCGGCAATTCAACAATACATAAGGAAAGAGAAGTAATGACATTCCCGGTAATATACCCCAAAAAATCCACTATTGGTAATGTAAGATTACCGGAAATAACATTCTCGACCAACCAAACGGGAATGTGATTTCATTCATATGAGAATCTCGCATTCTCCACCAAATTAAAGTTTTAAATTTTATCCATCAGTTTGTCCGTAGGATTACGCCATTCGTCTATGTAAACAGAACATATTTGAGCCGGACTTGATAAAGTTGAGTTAATGGGTCGGGCTTTCTTTGGTGGTACTTTCTTTTCCTTCGTTTTTTCTTAAATAGAAAAAACCGGATACGCGACGACTAGAAACAGAACAAATTGGATGGATGATGATGATCTAAAGGGAGCCTCACGGACGGCTGAGATTTATCTATTTATCTGAAGATCAGAGCACAGCATTTGGTATTCACAAAAAGTAAAACTACAAGCGTTTATCCAACGCACCGATCACTTTCTTTTTCTATTCTGGTTAAAGAGGACGTTTCCGTGTTATTTGTCTTTTCCAATTTACTTTTTATTTCTTTAAAAATGTTTTTTTAAACTAATTTCATTAAATAATTTCACATAATTTAAGTTGTTGAATGAAATTTTTAAAGAAAAATAAATAAAAAAGAGTACAAATAGCTCTACAGAGTTTGAGCTTCCTGTTTTATTTATTAGAACAACTTTTATAGGAAGATACCTATGTCATTATCAACAAGTATTTTACAAATTTGCAACTCTTCGTTTCTCTCTTTCCCAGTTTTCTTCTTCATTCTGAACACTCATTCTGCTGCCATGCCGTTTAGAGGACTGGGTCGGGTATCTCTCTTTCTCTTCCTTTCTTTGAGTTTATTCATCTTTCTGTTGTAAACTAGGAGCTATTTTATATGTTTTACTAACTAAAGGGTTTCCATTTCACCTTCTTCATAACAAAACATTGCTCTTTGGTGCTTGAAATGATGCTATCTTATAGATATTCCTGGGTTCTAACAGCTTTTATTGCATGCTCTGTATTGTGTTCACGTTCCTCAAAAATTTGCCTTGTGCTTGTGGCTAATGAGTTTGGCATATGATTGCCTGTTCAAGAAGTCTAATCTCCATAAATTGACCCCATTTGGGTTATCATCTGTGTAAAGTATGAAAAGCATATATCAATCAAATAACTGTTGATGATCAGTGCTTTTGATTGCAGCCAAATGCCACATGTGGCATGTGTGCCGCTGATCACACCAAGGATGCATTTATGGAACTGAAAAGGAAGAAAATTTACCGATATTTGGTCTTTAGGATCGATGAGAAGGAGCGGGAAGTTGTGGTTGAGAAAATTGGTAATCCAGCTGAGACCTATGATGACTTCACTGCCTCCCTCCCGGAGAATGATTGCCGATATGCCGTCTATGACTTCAATTTTGTTACTTCCGACAATTGCCGAAAGAGCAAGATTTTCTTCATTGCATGGTCAGTTTTCTTTTGCCTTTCGTTTGATCTTTGTATTGCAAGTGAACACATTTGGTAGTGGTTACAAAGGCAGACACTAGGGTTGCGCCTGCACATGTTAGGATTTGTCTGTGCTGTTATGTTTTTGTTACCTTGATGCTTCTTCAAATTTGCACATGGCATTCCCCTGGCATGCCTGTTGAATCTTCTCCTTACCTAACAATTGGTTACGTTTTATCAGGTCCCCTTCATCGTCTAGAATCCGTGCAAAGATGCTCTACGCCACTTCAAAACACGGGCTTAGAAGGGAACTGGATGGTATCCACTATGAGATTCAGGCTACTGACCCTACGGAGATGGATCTCGAAGTGCTGAAGGAACGTGCGCACTGAACGGTCTGTAGTTTAACTGTTCCATTCTAGGTACTACCCTCCTCGATTTCTCAACTCGGAATTAGTCGTTGCTTCCTGTGCAGAGTCATTTCCTGACACAAAGAATAGTGAATTTATAATTCCTTGAATAACAAGAATCTAGTGAAGCTGATATGAAACTATAGGCTTAACATTTGTCGGTTCCTGCTAATTATGGTTCATTACTGTTGTTTTCTCTGAACAAAGAAAATTTGTTTTTCATCTGTATTTAAATCTGCAAGAGGATTTGGAAAACGAAAATCTGGCAACCATGGAGTTCTCTATTATTAGAATAACGTACGTGTGAAGGAAAAATAGCTGAAAAACGAAAACCTGACATCAGAAACTAAAATAAACCTGTTGGGGAACTAAAGAGATTTAGTGATTAGATGACGACGACGACCCTGCCTTCGACGATTCCCCGTTTTTTTTCATTCTCGCCCGACATCTCTTCTAGAGATTTCCCTTTTGATTCGGGCACCCAATACAATAAGTGAATTCTTCACCCCCAATACCTGGAGGATACTCTGCATCTGTCTTGGCCTTGTCTTTATTCTGAGCTAAATACAAGAATCCGAATGCACCAACCATGGCCCCAAGCTTTCCTGAAGCTGCTGATATACATTTTATTTTACCAATAAATTGACTTAATAAATTAAAAAAAAATAAAACATCTATCATATCAAGCTGCGAGTAATTTATAATGATTTAAACCTATAACTCCATTAAATTGTGAAATCCAGTGTGAATGTTAATCCACTTGATTATCCAGTATTTTGTACATCATACATGAATCAGAACGTAAAGGGTGAAATTTTTATCAACATTTCTATCCTCTTCTGGCTTTCGACTTTACAGGCAGAGCTCCGGGATTTAATGGCATCAAGAAAACTTGAAAAAAAGAAGCGGAATTGTTACCAAGGAGAGTTAGTCTCACATGAACTCAGCAGTTGTTCCAAGTAATCAGCTCCTAAATCCTCCAACACCACCAAATTCTGTTGTTGCCTTGGCCTGGCCACCTCCGTTTGTTTCCCTTTGCTTTTGGTCCTCGATCTCTTCCTTAAACAGTTCCGCTTCTTGAGCGCCACCACCTGCGAGCAACGTTCCTCGCATCGATACTTGATGTCCTGAAGCGATTCCCTCACCACTTCCACCGGGAAATTGAGAGTAGCCAATGACCCTCTCATCGTAAATGCCGCTTGGTCGCTGTTGAATGTCCCCAGCCACACCCTGACACAATTCCTCGTCGAGTCTCGGATCTCGGCCGCGTATTCCCCCCACAGCCTCTTCCTCACACCTCGGTAACTCTTTTCTTCTTTGACGCTGTTGGAGTTGGACTCCGATGATTCTTTGGGTCCACCGGCAAATGAAGCAATCCAACTCATTTCGTCGGTGTCGTTGAAGTTGAAAGGAATTGAAATATCACAAAGAGCAAGTAACCAAGGCTTAATTAATTAGGGTGAATATTCTATAGTCTAGTAAAAAAAAATTAAGTTATTCGAATACTTTTTAAAACTCAAACTAAATTTAAAATTTTCTCGATTTGGGTTTATAAAATTCAATTTTCATGTTTAAATTTAATTGTACACTTTATAATGTTATGTTATCAATTGATTCCAATTTAAACTAATTTCTATAATCATATATGATATAAATATATATTTCTTCATATTTTTATATATGAAGATATACATATATCGTGTAGATTTAAAAGACTCAACTCGAATTTAAAAATCAATCCAATAAGTATTAGAAATTTTGAGATATTCGAGTTCAAATAAGTCAAGTCAATCTATTAAAAAAGTTCGATTTTTTTAAATCGAATCAAGTTTTACTCACCACTACTAATTAAACATCAAAATCCAGACTTTCTCTTTTTCGTAAATAAGCAACCACTACCTCATAGATTCAATTTAAGCACTTAGCACTAAGCACCCAAAACTCAAACTTGTAATCCAGCATTGGTTGAAAAAGAAGGAAATATTTAAGTATATATTTTACAATCAAATCAAATTAAAAACAAGTTTTAGCAATAGTGAAGAACAAAAAGAAGCAAAAACATTAGATTCAGATTCCAGAAATTCCTTCAGAATCAGTTCGATACATACAAAAAGAATCAATGATTAACTATATTCCAATGATTACAGAGAGTAATATTCACACTATCTATTCTATTAAAGTTTCTACCCCTTAAATGAAGACTAACAATGTCTTTGATAGTCTTAAGTAAGCTTTCAACAGACCTAGCTCGACTTTGGAACAGTCTTTTGTTCTTTCCTCCCATAGCAAGTAAACCAGTGCATTCATTGCCAGCTTCATAACCAAGGAAAGCAAGGATTTGCCTTTCCAGTTGGAGCTAGCCGTGACAAGAAATTATCCCAAGAGCAAACAGAAAATTTCAGACCAGATAAAAAGAAAATAGAGTCTTAGAGGAAAACAACAGTAGGGCAATAAAGGAAAAGATGGTAATGGATTCCAAACCAGCTTTACAGAAAACACATAAAGAATCATTAATCAGCTCCATACATTGCAATCTAACCTTGGTAGGAAGTTTATCGAGGAAAGTCATCCAGGTAATAAGATTGTGCTTTGGTATAAGCAGGGGAAACCATAACAGTTTCTGCCAAGGGACCGTAGGTCTCTTTTCACGGGTTGAATCCCAGATGGTACTGGTAGTAGCAGCTCTTGAAGTCAGTAATTGTTGCATCTCTGGTCTCAATTTCAGAAGCCTCTTCAAGCACCAACTAGTATTATAATCAATTTCCACATACCATAAACTTTTGTCTTTAAAGACATAAGATTTGAGCCAAGCAGCCCAAAGAGATCCTTCTCCTGCGAGGATTCTTTTAATTAAACGGATCATGCAAACTTTATTCCATGACTTCATGTTTTTAATTCCGAGCCCGTCTTCAGATTTCAAGCAGCAGATGTTAGTCCAACTTACTTTTGCTCCGAGACAGCTTTGTCTGACCATTTCCAAAGAAACGGAAACAAAGTTGCTTGATCTTAACCATAACAGAATTAGGCAGAAAGAGTTGCATGCACCAGAAATTAGAAATGGAGGACAACACAGTTCTAATTAGTTCCAGTCTACCAGCGTAGCTCAGGAGTTTACTAGACCAGTGGTGCAATCACAAAAAGATGAAGGGTTGGTAATAACAAATGTATTCCTACAAATTTTATACTTTTTATTAATAATTTATTTCCACATTCTTTAAAATTTTATAAATTCAACACTAATATAAAATTTACATTGGTATCTACATCCATATCTAGTTTCTTGGAAAGGAAACAGACTGCATAGTTGGCATGCTATCTTTTATGGTCAACTTAATGATATCAACATCAAACTATTCGCCATAATAAAAGTCAATAGTTTCTACAATCATCATACTACAATAATTACCTTATAATCACTCTATATTATTTTAAAAAATTGAAAATAATATTTTATTGTTAATTTTTAAATACTAATTGAGTGGTTTATTTTTTCATTCACTTAAAAGTATGTTATTAAGATGACGTCTATATTTAAAAAAAAATTAAAGAGTGTAATCTAAATGAAATCAAGCATAGTCTTTTAAATATAAAAATACCCACATAGAAAGGAAAAAGATAGTGAGAATGTGAGATGTCCGTGTTATGAAGTTATTGATATTTTGCAAGATGCCTTGTATATGGAATTGAGAAATGGACTTTTGTAACAACTACATTAACGTTAGTAGGAATGCATTAAAGTGTTAGGTGATCGATTTATAAATTTTACTGAGAAACAGACGAGGATATGTAAATTCATTAAACTGAACTCCATCCCTTATGTCATTTCAATTGTTACAATTGAATTTGACTTTGTAACAATCGCATTAAAGAGAAGTAGAGGCATTAGGGGAAAATATGAGTAGGGATGACAATGGGTCGGGTCGGGTTGGGTTTTTGGGCCATCTGACCCGACCCGAAAAAAGGTCATCCATTCGTGATCCGATCCGACAAAATTAAAGTTTCATCCGACCCGATCCCGACCGGACCCGAGAAAAAGGGTCATCCACTCGTGACCCGACCCGACAAAATTAAGGTTTCATCCGACCCGATCCGACCCGAAATAAAAAAATATTTTTATTCAATAAAAACAGTAACTTAATTGAAAAAAATTATATATATATATAGGGGTATTATTGTAATTATCCTTAAATATATAGGGTAAAACTATATATATTTTTCGGGTCGGGTCGGTTTTTTTCCACCCTAATCCCGAACAGACCCGACCCGAACAGTGCATTTAAAAAACCCCGACCCAAACCCAATTTTTTTAAAATCCGAACCGATCGGGTCGGATCGGAATCTATCGGATTCGGGTTGAGTTGCCATCCCTAGATATGAGTCAATGAGAGATCTTCTCCTCAAACGTGGCTTAAGGGTATTTACAATGACGTTTATTGATGGTGCGAGATATATCATTATTATGATTACATATAGGTCAGTAGTTAAATAGATATGATGGTCAAATCTTGAATATCGCTCTGATAAATCATGTGAACGTATCAGAGGTCTTATCTATATACTATAGTTGACTCATAGATTATGGGTTTCTCGAAAGTTCGATAAATGAAAGAATCTTTTTGGAGGTATTGACTGATTTCCGGTGATATCTCTTGAAATTACTAAAATATAGAAGTTTGCAAATATGATTTTGACAAATTATTTGTATGAATATGACATTGGGTTACAAAATGACAAGTAGGCTGCCGGAGCCATGGAAATGTATAGAGTTTTAAGGTTGGACTAGCAATTGAGAGTAGGGGGCGCGCTTATAAGCTCCTTCAAAGCTTCCTGATCAGGGTTGAGGATGAAAGCAGCAACGAAGTCGGTAAAATTGAAGGCCTTGTAAATTGCAGGATTGCTTGCATTAACCAAAGCTTTCGCCGGTCCTATCAGGCTTTCATCGCACGGATAGACGAAAAAAGAAATAGTCGTCCTTGGATCTCTCGAGTTCGTCACCACTCGATGTTCAGCTCCCATCAGTTTCCCATTGCTGATTATCTAAAAGAAAGGGTATTCAGTAATCGAAACAAATATATATATATATATATATATATGAAAATTCACGACAAAT